TTCGAGTGTTTTGAGTTTGAGAGAATGAAAGTTATGAGAGGATTAGAAAGCTATGAAAACTAATCAAGGAGAGAGATCCACAATCAAAGGATCGTAGATCTGAACTCCCGCGGGAGACTGTAGAGTGTGATAGAGTGGGTTGCGGTAGCAATCCTACTCACTCCACGATCCAAAAACGGAACGCGTGGAAGATTCGCCTAGCATTTATCTAGTAGCGTGGAAGTACTCCACGCTGGCTAAATATCTAGAGCGATGTTTCATCATCAACCTAGTATGACTAGAGCGGTCATTGAGCACCCTGTCTCCAATGACTATTCGCGAAGGACTACATCATGAGTCGAACTCAAACCCTATCTAGGATCGAGTCGCGAATAAGGCTAAGAGCCGTGTATTGCAGGATTGTCGCAGACGCCAAGGGGTTGGATGGCACTGTTCGGGAGTATCTATTTGTCATTCGAGGTGAACCAAGGGCGCAAGATCTGCGACCAAGAGTTATTCCTCCGTTCGATCGTCGGCTCATAGCAATGTTACCAATCCAAGCAAGCAGTATCACACCAGCAAAATCACCATTTCCGAACATCAAGCTGTCACAAGAAACCACACGCAAGCTGCTCGAATATTATGGCGACCTGATTGAGAGCAACGAGGCATGCAACAGCCCCCAGCAAGAAGCTGTTGTCAATGTGTCAACAACTGATGGAGGGCGTCGTCGAAATCGAAGACGGACATCCTTTCTGGTGAACAATGCGCGTAGATTGTCATTTGGGTCCTCAATGCAGCCACCAACTCAGATTGCACGCCAAAACGAAGAGCACCAAGTAGCCACTTCGGCTCCAACTGCACCAGCCGATGATATAGACCAAAACAGCGACGTGGAGATGCCACTCGAGCCAATGGATCAAAGCAGCGACGATGAGAATGCAATGGAAGCTTCAGGTGGAGCGCATTCACCTGGTAGCCATTCGTCTGGAAGGAGCGTGATAATAGCAGAAGCATCTTCAAAGGATGGGGAACAACAAGAAATAGAATTGGTCATACAGCAATTTTCAGAGGAAGGAGATCACTCTAGGATGGACGGTACTTACGGGGAGGCTTTTCCTTCTTCAGAAAGCAGACGCGAAACTGAACAGGAGATACAGAGGAAGTGGACGCCACCTGCTGAAATGCTCTACGCATTGGCACTCAATTTCGACAGCAGAGACGATGGCAAACGTCCTTCTCGGTTTGGAGATGGAAGCTTTGAGCTGAGCAACAAAAAGCGACCTGACGACACAGCATTGAGGTGGGCTATTCTGATGGTTGCATATCGGTGGGGGTATTGGAGAGAGGATATTACCCGTAAACAGAAGAGCTCAATTGCCAGAGCAGCGTGTTATCTCATTGCTTATGATGCAGGATTTGCACAGAGCATCGAAGGGACAAGCGTGGAGAAATGGGAAAGGGCTGTATCAACGAGCATAAAAACTGGAGAGAGTAGACTGGTTAATGCATTGGCAACTCAAGCGATTGGGAACCAACGAAAGGATACTTACTACAACCGACTTGATAAAGAGTATCCAGGATATCTCCTTCGACTATGGAGGGAGGCGCAGAAGATTGAGGGCGATAAAGCAACATTCGTTGAGTACGCAGGCACCATCAAGACTCTGTCATCAAATCCGGAAGATCCACTGCCGACCGTCAACATTAGTGGCAAGCAGCTGAATCAATGGTTTCGATCGCTTGGGGGAACTGCTGTGAAATCGGTGACGAGACCTCTTCTAACTGAAAAACACAAGACAGATCGAGTTGCTTGGTGCAACAAGATGTTGGCAGCAAACAATGACCATCTTGAAAAGCACGGAGATCTTGCCATCCGACAATTCACAGCGCATCCTCCTTACCGGTGCTTTGAAGATGAGAAATGGTTTTACAACACAACCAGCCGAAGAAAGAGGAAGAAGCTCCCGTATCAGCTTGGAGAGGAGGCAGGACAAGCTGACTAAACCCCAGAGCGCCTTGCAAGCCGAAGATTCGCACCGAAAGTAATGTTTGCTGCTGTTGTTGCATGTCCCCATCCACAGTATGACTTCGATGGCAAGATCTATATGCGCCGTATCAGCGAGTCCGTGCAAGCCAAGAAGAGCACCGTTTTCAAGCTCATTGTCGATGACTACGAAGCAAACAATCTCATACATGAAACGTGGCGCTCTCTTCATCTGCCTGCAATTCTTCCTACCCTCACGGTTGGAGAATTTCTTGACAGCCTTTTGAATGTAGAAGAATATGGCATGAGTGAGGATATTCGAGAGGCTCTCGTACTGCGGTATTGCACTTACACTGCACCAAGAAGGCAAACCAAGAGTGGTCCTCAAAAGAAATGGATCACAATGGAAGAACACGAAACAGTGCTTGGCCACACCAGGCGAAAGGTTGCTGGTGGCCCGTTGGTTGAATTGAAGATTGCAGATATTGAATTGAGATCCATGCGCCGCAAAGGTGACTGGTACGAGAAGGATACAACCTGCGATTCAGAGTGGATGAAAGTCCACATGCTGGAGATGGGGAAAGCAATCCGTGAAGCGTATTGGTGGGTTGCTGACTCTCAAGAGATTGAGCTTGTGATGGAAAATGCCGGAGGCCACGGAACAAAGGATTGCATCGAAGAGTATGAAAAAGCCCTCAAAGAAAAATTCAACGTGAAGGTTATCCATCAGGTGCCACGGAGTCCTGAAACAAACCTGCTCGACCTGGGGATTTGGTGTGGATTGCAGCATTATGTTGAGACGGTGCATCGGAAGAAAACAAAAACGTCCACCGATGCTCTTGCTCGGACGGTGATAAATGCATGGTCAAGATACAACTCATTTGAATCGTTCGCCAATGTTTACAGACGTTGGGACAAGGTCCTTTCGCTCATCATTGGAGCAAGTGGCGACAATAGTCTTGTCGATTCTGCTCGGAAAGAGTTGATTGTTCCGATTGTTATGGTTGCTCCAGAAGCGCTCATACAGGATGAGGATCACATAGTCGAGGACCCCCCGAAGACTGGTTCGGCAACGAAGACCGCGTAGCTAACCAAGCTGACACTGGCTCTGAAGAAATCGACGACTGAGCCGCCGTCGACACCATCGTCGAGTGCGGATCTGTTCAATGGCTTGCCGGTGAAACTGAGGATTGATCTTGTGTCGGAAGCAAGATCACGCGGTGGCGCTGCGACATTGACTGTCCATACTTTTCCTGCAGTCAAGAAAATTTAGCACGTTTTATCTAAATAAAAACCGTGCAGAGCCTGCTGGCGTTTGACGAAAAAGGATGTTTGACAACCGCTGCTATATTATATCCACGCTTGTATATCTATATATTAAATCTTTTGTTGTCGCAGTGACGTCGTCCCCACCATATTACATTTTCTAATTCCGGGAAAGGTAGCTCCGAAATCAAAGCACAGCTGCAGCATACCGGTATTAGTTAGTACTGGTACCAGTATGGTCATACATGTACCAGTACCGGTACCAGTACGGGTACCAGTTTCTTACCGACAGCTAGCTACCTGGTAGCTAGCTAGCTAGCTAGCTAGCTAGGTTCGCTGATCAGCAGCCAACACAGACAGTCCGCACAGGCTTCTGCCACGTGAATAAATTCTGTCGCGTTGCATTCGGTAAAAGGCTGCGCTGGGCAAAGTCGAATGATTTGACGTGATTCGATTCGATTCGATTCAATCACGTCGGGCGAGCACGAGCTTTTGCCGTTGTCTCAGTTTTGGCGGCTCATTTCCCTCCTTCTCTCACGTCCTCTCCCTCCATTCAACCACAGCTTCGTATTTTTTGGGGGGCAAACACAAAGTGTAAAAAGATCGACAATGAATAACTACAAGAAAAGGAACTACGGTGGTTCCAGCACAGGTTGGTCAAAGAACAAGGCGACCGTAAGTTCTTCTGTGAGCACTTATGACGGTCTAGACGTTGTCTACAAGCTCACCAAGGGCAACAGTGACACGGAGCCTTCTGCTCAGGAAGAGCCTTCCAAGAAACAAGTCTATTCAATTTTCGCCCCCAAGAAGAAACCCAGCAACACAAGCAGCAACAAGTCTAAAAGCAAGTTTGAAGACATGTACCGCAATGCATTCAAGGGCAAACGCAACGTCAATCTCTACATTTCAGGCCAACAAGTGATTTGGGAGTTTTCCTTTGATCGGACCATCATGGCTGCTATTAAGGAATACGTCCCCAACCGTTCCTTTGATGGCACCATCAAGAAATGGGTTAATCCTGTCGAATCGCTACCGGAAGCCATTGAACTCTACGAGTTTATGGGTCGAAGTCCTGATGAAGAACTCCTCGAACGAAGCAACCAAGTGACCCAAGCCCGCAAGACGGCAGTCGATCCTCGCGAAGTGATTACACTCATGGTTCGTCCAGAGGACACAGCTACAAACGCAACCTGGCCATTTGGATCCGTTCATGTCCAGTTTTTGTTTGACGCCAAGATTGTGTCGTCCATCAAGTTATTGCCTCCCTCCCAGAGACAGTTTGATCCAATGACCAAGCACTGGCCCATTGACTTGCTGGCTTTGCCATATTTGCTAGAAGTTTTGTTGCCATTGGAATATCGACCCAGCAAGGAGCTTTCTGCCTTGTGCGGAAAATGCAAAGAGATTTCCGGCATTATCAATACACAAGCTAGCAACGCTTATGCAGAAGATAATGACGAAAACCGGGATGGAGATGATAGTGGAAGTTCTGGTGAACAAGATTCCGACATCACCACACAAGCCAAACTGTCCGAGTCTCTGCAATCCATGAAAGAACTCTTGCTTGTGCACCACGACGACGACGACGACGACGACGACGACGACACGTTACAAGAAATCAGCAGCATCAACCGAGACAACTGCGGCTACTCGAAACGCCCCAAGTTGACAGTGGCACAAGAAGTATGGTCTCTCAAAAAGAAGGAAGGCACCATGTTGGAAGACGAGTTTGACTATGACATTCTTGCCTCTCGAGTGCTATCTCGTCGAGCCAAAGCCGAAGGATGCGATTGCGGTGAACCGTGGAGGCTTTCGGGTGGCAAACACATCTGCCGCTTCTTCGGGACGTTTGACTGCGACAACTGCGGGCATTCATGGACCAGTGCCTATACTTGGAAGGGTGAGAGGCAAGCCTGTCGCCGCTGCGAGGAGGAGAGTTATCCCGCCAAAACGGAGCGCTTGCAAAGCGGTATTGGTACTAATGGAGGAGGTCTTGGCCAGCACGACAGCTCCCGCTGTTCTCGCTGCCAAAAGCTGGGCTACAACTGCAGTGGCTACTGACTGAGAGTTGAAAGTTGAATGGAAGGTACGGAGTTGTAGAGGTTGCAGTTGGAAACCCAGTTGCGGTTTGACCTCTCACCAAGCGAATTAAGAAAACCATCATGTTCTGTTACATGTACATGTAACTTGAGAGGCTGAACTCCATGTGTGACTCGGTTAGCAAGTCCATCATGAATTAGGAACTATTCCATGCTGGAGGCTTTTAGGCTTTTAGCAAATCTTACATTTTATTGCAATAGAGGAAATTGACTGGTTCGTCGCCATAAATCGTTGGCTGCCGGCATGAGACATGCTTGTAGGGTACAGCTGTCAACTGGCATTGTTCTGATGTTGAAGGATAGAGAGAAGCATTTGTAATCCTGTTGGTGCAACTGCGGTACACAGTCCAATTGTCGCGCTTTGTACCGGTATGGTTCTGCTTCAGCACGCGGCTACGGTTTTCTGACATTCTGACTTCTTCAGGCTGGTTTGGAAAAGACGGCAACCCTTTCAAGCTTTCACGACCAACACGTAGCTCTACTAGCTATAATAGCTACCACGTACTGGTAGCTAGCTAGCCAGTTCGCGTGCTTGGAAATCGCGTGGGAGTTCAGTCGAATGATTTAATCGAGTCGAGTCTATGATTCGATCATCATTCGATTCATCATTCGACTCGAATCGAATCGTCTGTCCGGTGTCCTAAAAGATCCAACCGAGCCCGCAGCCACCAACGATGAGAAAGAAATGAAGCACCAACTTGAAAGGCAAACAACTTGAAAGAAATAGAGCAGATACCCACAACCAAGGAAAGCTACCAGAGAAAGAAGCCAGGACAAGATGGGCGAGAAGAAACGAAAGCAAGAAGCTGAACCAGAGGATGTGGATATAGCTGATGATTCCAAGAAGCAGGTGAAGAAATCCAAGAAATCGAAGAAGGAAAAGAAGGAAAAGAAGTCCAAGAAATCCAAAAAGGAAAAGAAAGAAGCACAGGAACAGGAAGAGGCAAAAGACACGGCAGCAGATGATGAGCAGGAAATGTCAGAAGCCGAAGAAAACACTAAGGAAAAATCCACTAAAGATTCCAACAGCAGTGAAAATAAGATGAGCAAGGAGGAAGAAAAGGAAGATCGGAAACGCAAACGCGACGAAAAGAAGAAACGAAAGAAAGAAATTCTGGATCAGATTCCCAAGGTCGACGCGGACGGCATTTCCTACACCAAACAACAAATTCGACGCATGGTGAAGCGTGTAGAGCGAGGCTTGGATCCAATTCCCACTGCGGAAGAGGAAGCCGAATTGAAACGACAAGAGAAACTCTTGCAACAGGAAGAAGAATTGGAGCTTGCGGGAATGCTGTATAGACAAGAAGAAGATGGTGACAGAGATGAGGAAGACAACGAAAATGACGATGAAGAAGAAGACGATGAAGAAGCAGAAGAACCTGCTCCCGTCGAATGGAAACGCAACAAGAAATCAAAGCAGCAAGACAATGACGATGATGACGATGACGATGCACCCAAGAAACCCACCAAGAAACCAAAACTCTCCAAGAAGCCTGTACCACCCGACTATGTTTGCCAAGCTTGTAAAAACAAGCACAAGTTTGCTCATTGGATCTATGACTGTCCCGACAAGGTCACTGTGAAAGGGACCAACCACGTGTCCGCCAAACACAGCAAGGACAATATGCCGAGTGCCAAGAAAGTCTTTGTCTCGGGACTCTTTTTTACTACCAAAGTCAACGACGTCAAGCAGATTTTCAGCTCCTGCGGCAAAGTAACTTCCTGCAAACTACTCAAGTTCCCCGACACGGGACGGTGCAAAGGGCAAGCCTTTGTGGTCTTTGATACGGAAGAAAGTGCCAAACAGGCCCTCAAGCTGAGCGGCACCAAGATATCGGCATCGGATGACGACGACAACAACAGCAAAGGCAACAAGAAGAGCAAGCTGAGCTAGAGCTCAAGGTCCATAAGGTGATGAGCAGGTCCATGACCAAAGCCATGAAGAAGCAATGATCTGTATGTAGCATAATAATGAGCTGGTTATAGCTCTGTATTGTACTAGACTAGTAGGAGAGATTTTAGCTAGTTACAGTCTACCACGTACCTAGCTAGACCTAGTCCATCAACTAGAAACTGTCGTCGTGTCATCGTAATAACAAAAGGTTTGCCTTGAATCAAAGACTCGACTCCGGGGTCAGAAATATTTCATGGCGCCAACGATTGCGTCCTGACGATGTACTCGTAGTGGGCTATGACACTATCATTGTACAACTAACTATAGGGACTGCCGTGCCTTGCTTCAGTAGAGTGTGATCGAGTTTTTGTATATTTTGAATACTGCCAATTCTTTTGGCAGGTGCGATGCATGCCTCAACACAAGGTGAGATCAAGACGCATACTAGCCAGTCGCTGGGAAGAGGTGAAGAAGTTGTCGACAAGACCAGGACTATGAGCAGGGCCAGTCCGTCTGTTGTCTACAGTAATCTGTGCCTTGCCATTACCAACCCTACTTTAAAGCTAAATGCTGTGAGATCAATATGTATGTCATGTTATGCGTTGTTTGCTTTATTCACAAAAGTGCTTATTAGTTATAATTATAATAGAACATCGGGATTATCTATAGTTGGGGTGAGCCGAAATGGACTTCGAGCCAAAATACAGAGTTGCCCTGCAGGCGACGAAGTCATTACTGGCTACTAACGTACTTCCTAGATACCATAGCACACATAACAACGAATTAATGCACATGTAACGACTACTTGGGATAGAAATCTGACGACTTCAAAAACAAAATGGGACTAAAAACTGTTAATTCTCCGACTTCACTTTTCTGCACACCCAATCACACTTGCCACTAAGAACTTCCATCGTAGTTGTCGAAGGCAACCATGTTAGTCAAACTGACGTCGTCCAATCCATCGTTGCTGCCAAGCTTCTTCAGAATGTACCTTCCAAGGGCTTCAACGGTACCATTCATCTGACCTAATTTCTCCACAACGAACTGCTGGAACCTCATATCCTGTGCTCTTTGGGTGTCATACTCCATTCGAAACTGGCTGATCATGTTCATGGCACCCTTGATGTTGCCATTTGCCACATTGACCTGGGGCACGACGTCGCCCCGTAGTCTCTCCAGACCTTCCTTCTGAGACTTGGCAATTGGGTCTCTGATGGATTTAACGAACTTCTTCCTGGTGTAATCAGCGAGGCTTCCTCCAATTTGGTTGTCAACAATTTGCCTTACCTTCTCATCGAAGTCGCCACTGGCAGTACTACTTGCGTCGTCGTCATCAGGCTTTTCGGTCAGGTCACTGTTGTTCTTTGTTAGGTGGATGTTCTGTGGAACAGCTGCAACAGAACCTGGTCCCGTTTTGTTGATCTTACCACCACGTCCATTCACAGTTGAGGTCCCGGTGACTGTAGGGCGACGTTTCGTAGCATTCCGATTCTTGGAAGCACCGGTGTTGAACCAGCTGTTGAAGTCAGTTTGCTGGGTGTCTCCCGGTACGGGCATGTCCTCTGTGTGCGGCATCGTGGCTTCTTCCTGCATAGAACCTTGCTTCTTCTTTATGTAGGACTTGCCAGTGTAGGGGTTGGTAAACAGGTAGTGGTGCTCGTCTAACTCGACTTCCATTGCCAGTCTTCAAGACTTGATTTTATGATCAACTGTACTGACTGAATCTGTGTACGGTGGCATCGGACATTTGAATTCCTGTAGCAGCGGTGATCATTTTGAATATTCGAATTCCTATAACAGAAACAACGACTATCCCAGATGACTGCACAGAAGTCTTGCTTCTAATCGGGGATAGTCGTACTTATGTGTAGCCGGTATCAAGGAAGTCGAGCTGCACAATTCAAACCGCTTTAACTAGGCCAATCTAGCAACGTACACTAGTCAACTACAGAAGTCCAAGTCGGCTCACAAAAACAGAAATGGCTGGAGTCAACCTCAACGAGGACCACAGAGGAATACCTCCTCTTAGGGCACTTGAAGACGTTTTTGCCACCAACGAGAACACCATCGAGTACTTAGTTGATGAAGGATGCTTGAACATCCCAGAGTTCTGCGTCCAGTGCAACCAGCCTGTTGAGTATCGCCCTAATGTGAAAAATCTTATCTTCTGCAACCGGCGCCAGTGCAAGGCTGTCCATGGAAAGAGGTGGACGCAATCCATCATGGCCGGCACCTTCTTCCACACTTGCAGGATCCCCATCAGGGAAGTACTTTATTTTCTGTACCTCTTCATCTGTGGCACCTCGTACACCTCTGTTAGAAGCATGTTCGGCTGGTCCCCTAACACGGTGACGGATTGGTTCCGATTTGCCCAGCAGCTCATTGGTGAAATGGTCCTGGACAATATCGACAACTACCAGATTGGTGGAGTCGGTGTTGAAGTTGAGGTGGACGAGTCGAAGTTCGGTAAGAGAAAGTACCATAGAGGACATCGTGTGGACGGTGTGTGGGTTTTTGGTGGTGTGGAAAGAACCCCAGAACGAAAGTGCTTCCTTGTAGCCGTACCCGATAGAAAGAAGGTTACGCTGGAAGAACACATAAAGGACTTCATTCTACCAGGTTCCATCATCATCAGTGACAAGTTCCCCAGTTATGAGGATCTCGAGGGTAAAGAAGACTTCTGGTATCAGCACGAAGTTGGTGAGTTAATGATCCAGTCGCGCGACTGCCCTTTCCGACAACTGTGACTAACTTCTCTACTCCTTTCGCACAGTCAACCACTCCGAGAATTACAAGGACCCCATCACTGGTGCATGCACCAACACCATCGAGGGCACTTGGAACGGTGTAAAGAAGCTTGTCCCAGCCAGAAAGAGGACAGAGGAGGGTGTTAGGCCGTGCCTCTTCGAGTTCATGTGGCGTCGTATGAACCAAGGGCGTCAGTGGAGGGCACTCCTGGAAGCTCTGGCACAGGTTCGATATGTCTAGTGCCGTAAATATTATAATCGTTGAAGTTGTTTTTTTCGTCCAATTTAGTCACACTTGCATTTTACTTATAGGCTTCGACTTCCCTACTCTACGTGGTGGGACTTCCGTGCTAATTTGGTGTTCCAAGATTTCTCCCCCAGCCTTTTCTGCGATTTAGTAATTAGAGCTAAGTATGCTTATTCTATATACATATCTCTATATTTTGAAGTCGTTGGTGGTCGTTGGATTGGCCGGTGCGCCTCACCCCAACTATAGAAAATCCCTTATTGCTTCTCTCTTGTGCTTTCATCGCTTCTAAACTGTTTTTCCAACTCCTTCAGACTGCATGTGCTGAAGACTCGTTGCTGAAGGAAGGAAGAAAGAATCACTTTTTTGTTTTTCTATAGTCACTGATCCCCATGACACGAGCGTTTGCCGTTGTTTTCCTGCCTCCGGCTTTTCTCTGGAGTCTGACCCACGGATTTGCCAGCCAATTCGTTGGTTTGCTGCCAGCGGGAACGAGATCATGTTCCAGAGATTTGACCGAGCATTATTTTGATCCTACCGGCAATAAAGATTCCGTGCTCTATTCTTCAGCTGCAGATGACGACACAATAGGAGCCGATGAGCTACCTCCTCCAAACGCTGACACATCTATTCTAGACGATGTCGATGTTGCCATTATTGGCGCTGGACTTGGTGGTAAGGAGGTACTTGAAAAAAAACGATTTCATGCACTCTCCCTCTCTCTAACCTTTTGTTTTTTGCTTTCAATGCCTCTTAGGTCTCTGTGCTGGAGCCATTCTAAATACACTCTACGGCAAAAAGGTGGGTATTTACGAGAGCCACTATTTGGCAGGTGGATGTGCCCATGCGTTTGACCGCAAATCACAAAAATGTGGAGAAACTTTCACCTTTGATTCGGGACCGACCATTCTCTTGGGGTGCAGCAGCCCACCCTTCAATCCACTGGCGCAAGTGCTACAAGCCGTGGATCAACCAATTGCTTGGATATCATATGATGCCTGGGGGATGATTGAAAATCCAGGACGAGAGGAACTACTGAAATGGAGACTGCAATTGGGCCCTTACCTGCTCAACATAGTATGCAGCAACTATGCCATACCTCCTCAGCCCCCACATATGTATGGGCATACCACTAGCATCTCTACATACATAATGTACATACCTGTTTTGGCTGATATACACAATATTTTCGCCATGTATTTCAACATGTATTGTTCCGATGTAGCTCGTCGAGGTCGAGCTTCGATGTCGAGCGTTTGGCTCCCGTGTAGGTGAAGGCAAATCGCACTCATTTACCCAGTTACTAGAAAATCCAAACACACCAGCATCCATTTCTTGACACAGATTGAGAAAGGAGAGAAGTTTTAGGAAATCTACCAGCAGTAGTTAGATGAAAACCTTAGTAGTACAATGCAAGTGACCGATGCAGCATAGTATGGTCCCAGAGATTGACCAATGCTACATGTATTTCCATACCCCCACATACTTTCAGACTCTCACATACATATATTTGTATTTCAGTATGTACATACTATGTCCTTCACATCCATTTTTGCTTAGGCAAGATTGGGCCCCGATATCTTTGAGCAGGGACCCCTGCAAGAGTTTGGTGGCCCCACGGCGCTCGAGGAATTCCAAGCGCTACGGGAAGCTACCAAAGGATTGCTGGCAGGTGTGGCGATTCCTGCCATGGCAATGAGAGCGGGGAGCACGGCATTGATTCCCCTGTTGAGGTACTTTTCCACCTTGCTCGAAATCATCCAGCAAGGCGAACTCACCACCTCAACCTTTGCACCATGCATGACCCAATCTTCAATCAAAGATCAATGCTGCGAAATTGGTTGATGCTCTGCATTTTCCTTGTCGTCTCCCGGCTTCTCAACCTCGGCGCAGCAATGCTTTGTGATCTATGACATGCATAGCCCGGGTAGTCGTGGATTATCCCAAAGGGAGCTTGGAGAAGTTGTCATATGCTCTGGTTCGGGGAGTTGAGCAAGGGTCTCTGGTTCTCAAGTCCACTTACCGAAACATGTAGAACTAATCGTTGTTCGAAGATGGTATCCAAAATCACTGGCATCACATTGCGCCATATGGACGCAAAGTCAAAGCAAAAGTGGTGTCATCTGCAATGTGCCTGCTCTGGAGTCTCAGTGTCTTATCAAAAACACAAAATCCTTCTCCAAACTCACAACATGCTACCCAGATTTGGCCCCGCAGAAACCTCGTCAGACCTGGGACTTGACAAGTGGAAAGCCCGTCGTAAAATCGGTTCGCCCCTCGGTAGATCCTCAGTCCCAAGAAAGCCTTCTGGCCAACTGTGACACGGCTGAGATGACGGGTTCTTTTCTTCATTTACACATTGCCATTGACTCAAAGGGGCTCAACCTGGAAGAAATGGAAGCACACTACACTGTCATGGATCGATCTCTAGCAGGAGATGGGAGTCCTTCGGATAGCCCCTGTGGAGAGCTAAACATGATTGCTGTTTCGAATCCCTGTGTGATTGACAAGTCATTAGCCCCCGAAGGGTACATGATCATCCATGCATACGGGGCAGGCAATGAGCCGTATGCACTTTGGGAAGGTATGAAGCGCAATTCAGATGAATACAAACAACTAAAGGAACAACGAGCAGAAGTGCTGTGGCGAGCCATTGAAAGTGTAATCCCAGATGTTCGCAAAAGAACGGTCGAGCAATTGATTGGTTCGCCCATTACACATGAACGGTTCCTCAGGAGGCCACGGGGCACGTATGGGGCGGCCACAGAAGATTACTTGAAGGATGGCAGCACGCCCTTTCCCAATCTTGTCCTTGCTGGAGACTCGATCTTCCCCGGAATTGGGATGCCAGCGTAAGTTCACACGTTCGGGGTTCAGGATGCATCAGCTCCAGGGTGATTTCTTTGGATTTGAAGGCTAACTTTGTTGCTTTTGGCTCTTCCTACTCTTGCAGCGTGGCAATCAACGGTGCAAGCGCTGCAAATAGTATGGTAGGTGTAGCGGAGCAATGGTTTTGTTTAGACAAACTAAAAAGCAGCAACAAGCTGTAGCACCAGTCTATTCAGCTTGCTCGAGTGGCAAAAGTTTTGTTACAGGCAGAGCAGAGCTTAATCTATGCATAGTTGTGATTTTCGTTTGCTCTAGTGGTTGTTGGAGCAGAAGCGTTGTTGTTGTTGTTTTTTGTTCTTGTCATGATGGGATTGTTTCCATCTTGAATCAACAGAGGAGTTCATAGTCTGCAGAGCAATTGGCAAGTTTCATCCGACTCGATCTGAACAACATATATGCCGATTGAGGTTTTGATGCTCTGCTATGTTTGCAGTAGCAAAACCTACAGTGCATTCCGTTGCAGTCTGTCTGGTACTTGAAACTTGACTGTGTCCGATCCTTCTTAGATTCATCCTTCTCCATTCACCGCAGTCACATTGTTCCACGCCAAAAGAGTTGCAATTGTATCTTCGGACATGTCCGCAATGAGTTTTTCACCTTCTTGAATTTCCCGGAGTGCGACCACCTCCATGAATAACTTTGTCGAGTAGAGCAATTCCTGTGCCACCTGCTCTGGCGACATGGCCAATGCTTTTGTATTTCTGCGCTTAATCCTGCGACTCCATTGGAACTCCACATTGGGCGGTTCGGTTCCGGCGGATGATGTGATGAGCATGGCGGCTGGAGAGAGCGGACAAAGCAAGAATGGCAGATGCGCTTGTTGGAAGCAGTACTTGTTGGCTTGCTTCTGCGATACAACAATACCCTCTTCTTCTACCAATTCCTCTCCCTCTGGTGGCATGATACATTCTTCCTGGTCATCATCAACAACAGCGTGGTCCACAGAGGCACATCTACGGGCTTCATTCTTCCTTCCAAGTGGCAACAGTAGCAGAGGAGATGCAAAGACGGTCGTTCCATTCAAGAATTGCTGTGTGGCCAACAATGAAACATCCGAGTCTCCATCATGTTGCAGTAGTTCGCGGTTGGCATTTTGATTGTGATGACTCATGCATTGGGCATTCATTTCCAGTGCATTCATGGATTTTTCCTGAAGTGCAGCCTTGCCAAAGGGTTCTGCTCTTCGAATGAATGATATCCATGGATCTAGTTCTCGCTTGGTGGAAGGCAAGAATCGGAGCACTTTGGGATTGAGTTTGCGCGCCACCTTGTAGACTAGCACGAGTGTCTTTTCAATTTCCTTGTCATTGACCATGATCCGCCCTCGTTTCATGGGGAAACTCAACAAGGTATCTCGAATGATTTCTTCAGCCAAGTCGTATTCTGGTTGAGTGGGAATATCGTCAAAGACGCCGGTAGGATTAGTAGTAGTAGTAGTGTCGAGTGGTAGTTTACTGTGAGGGTGACTGGTAAAGGGAAGAAACAATTCGTCACCGGCGTGGATTTGCTTTGAGGCTCGAAGACTGTAATCAGTATGGTTGTTGTCATTATTGTCATCAGTTTCATTCCAAAAAGTGGTTCCATCGACGTTTGCCACTAAATGATGGTGCTTGAGTAAGAATGCGTATTGTTGAAGGGATAAGGTATAGGTAGATCCATCCCTGCTGTCATAGAGGGGTAGAAAATGGGCAGCTGAAATCACCACTTCTCCCTTGGCATAGTCACGACCCGCAAAGAGAGACATTCCACTCCACGGTATGGTACTCATGCCGAGAAACAAGGTGCAATTGGCATTGGCAAAATTACTCATGGCACCACCACGCTCCTTGTAGATCATTTCGGCTCGAGCCTCGATAAAGTCCATAATCGCATCGAGTTTATCCGGACCCTTATAAACGGGAGTCGTGCCCCAATCACTCGATCCAAGTAATCCAACAAAGATAATGAAAACAAAGATCCCGGGAACTGCCAAGACTTGCCAGATATTGGCCTTGAACTTGATCTTGTTGGGGTTGTCATCTTTGTTCAAGATGATACCGTGCCGTTGCGCAAATCGAATCGCTCGAGCTTCCGCTTCTTTGTCGGTTAGCGTCTTGTCGTCATCATCACTGTCGTCGCTGGGGTGGTCGTCGTCCTTGGGATCTGTCATCTTACTGGTGTCGTTTTGGATGAATGTTTGAATGAATGGATCAAGCAGCAAGCAAAAGAATGAGGAGAGAGCAATCGAGCAAGATGGAAGATTCTTTTGCCGCCAAGAAACCGAATTTGACGAAGATCCACTGTTCTTCTGAGTCACGAATACCAAGTCACGCCGGTGGTGAGTTCAGCAGATCTCCAACGGCAGCTCAGGATTTTTGGAACCTGGCCCTCTCTCCTCACAGGAGTCAAACGAAGCTCACAAGATTGCGTTCTTGTACATGATGTTCGGGGCCGAAAAATGACAAGAGATCCAAATGGGGCATCGCATGGTCACTCACTACAAACAACATCTGAGAATCTTGCTTTGTCGGCGTCTCAGTTCTGGTTGGTTTGGTTTGACAAATCCCTGGCCCTCTGTGAGACTCAAATTCATTCATCTCCATCCCAAATTGTTAGACTAGAGGATCACCATGAACAACAACAACAGCAGCAACAACAACGAGGATCTCAATCCCTACGGAGATCTGGAGGATCATCGATCCCAGCATTCCACGTATTCCTACGAAGATGCCAGCAATGACGGCGATGCTGATGAAGAAAGCAGAGGACTCATCAAACCGAGCGACAGTGGCGAGTCGGACTTGGCCATGGCCGTCGTGGACATTCTATCCTGTTGCGACAGTCGCACCAATACCACACAGGCCAAACTACTCCGGGATATGGAAGCCAGGTACCAGAACAAAGGGAACTTGATTCTAGACGAAAAGCAACAGCGAGAAATCTTTGCGGATGAAATTGAACAGTTGGCCAGGAAGAAAAAGAACAAGAGTGTCTCCTCGCGTATCCTGGAAACGTTCAAACCCAAACCCAAGCTGTTGCGGGAGTTTGGATCTTCTTCCAGTACCACCAAAAACACGTACTCGGTGCGAAGTTCACGGGGTATCACGGGCGAAATGCCAGTTCGAAAAGAAGCAGCACACGAGCAGCACAAGTCGGGAGCTCGGAAACTGTGGTGGGTGGCAGGGGGTGGTTTGCTCTTGCTGGTATTCGTGGTGGTCGTCGTTATTGTGGTGGTGGTCACGTCAAACAAAACCAACAAGTCCAACTTTTTCGTACCATCCTCGGGCGGTAATCATATTCCGAAAGGATACAATGGCATTGCACCCATGACGACCGAGTGTTTTGCCGTCAACCGACAAGAGCACCCTCATGTCTTGTCCCAGTGTGCTTGCAACGGAATCATTGCAGGCATTTCAGAGCCTGCTGAGCAAAAGTACAGATCTCTACTCAATGCATTTGGTGCCGAGTACTTGCATGCCAACGAAACAATGTCGTCGTGTTCGTCACGCAACCAAGCTTTGGTGTGGCTAGCCGAAGATCCAGGCAGTGTTTTGAATGAACAGCTCGTTCAGAGGCATGCCCTGGTTCTGTTCTTTGTCAAGCTACATGGACTCTACTGGACGCTGGAAGAAGGCTTGCAGGAATGGCTGACACCCAACCACGAGTGCACATGGTATGGCGTTTCTTGCAATAGCAACAACCAAGTTGTTGCTGTTGAGCTGTGGAATCTCAATTTGGATGGTTCCATCCCCAAGGAGATTATGAGCTTGACCCATCTACAGACGCTGTCCTTGCCCGAGAACCGCATCCAAGGACGCTTGCCAACGGACGCCTTTGTCATGATGCCCAAACTCACCGACTTGACGCTCTTTATGAATAGCATGTCGGGATCAATTGATGGAAGTATCTTTGACCACGTGACCAAGTTGCGCACACTCAACCTTGATTCCAACGACTTGACGGGCACTCTACCGAGTGACATCGGGAAGCTTTCAGCTCTAGAGGAGCTCAAGGTATGTTCAAACGAAAACAGTTTGGGGGGCCTACATTAATGTTTACGATTGCTTGCTGACGTCTTTCGTTTGACTGACTGACTTCACCTTATAGCTAGCACGGAACAACCTCAAAGGCAGCATTCCAACCGAGATTGGAAACGCAAACCTGCTCCAGAAGATCGAACTAGAAGAAAACAACCTCGATGGGACACTGCCGTCGGAGATGGGCAAACTCAATCTTCTCAAGTCGCTTAATTTGAGCTGGAACAACTTTCATGGTACCATCCCCTGGGAGTTTCAGTCATTTCGCAAGCTTGTGGACTTGTTCTTGAAAAGCAACAATTTCAGTGGGAGGCTTCCTGAGATAATAAAGGCCTTTGACAAGCTGGAGAACCTCGTTGTGAGCCTCAATTCCTTCACAGGCGAGCTGCCGTCTGGGATGGAACACATGGTATCTCTAAGTAAGTCAAATGATGCGATGGCTTGATTGAGAGCGAGGGCTGTTGACTTGCTATCGGGAAGCTCATGAGTTTGTTTTTGCCCTGCGTGTCCCACCCCAATGATCTCAGCAACCGTCCACCTTGATGAGAACCAGTTCAACGGGACAGTGCCATCCGCCCTAGGTGCCTGCTCCATGCTACGGGATATCAACCTGGAGTACAACGATTTCCATGGCGCCATCCCGAGTGAACTGGGAGAACTGCGCTGGCTAGGTAAGTGTGTAATTGAGAAAGATGCTAGATAAATCCATAAAACAGTTCTGACTCACATAGCTTTCCTCTGCAGTTTCGCTGAGCCTCGAGGGTAACGGCTTCCAGGGAACCATGCCAACAGAGGTCTGTGGCCTCCGTGGTGACATTGGAACCTTGAGTACACTAACCGCATCGTGCACGGCTGTTGCCGACAGCGGCCGTGAGAAAGCAGAAGTTTTTGCCAAGCCTGATGAATTGATCTGCACAGTTCCTGAGTGTTGCACGGCTTGCAAACGTAAAGGATGAGGTCTCGAAGATTATCTTTCAACCTACCGTGCATCTTATTATACCTGCAACCAGCTTGCCAGGGAGAACCACAGCTATGATTCCATTGTACTTTCTTTTCTGTTACTTTATGTATTAAATTAGGGGAAGCCGCCTCTCTGCTGACAACTGTAGCAGCTCTTTGCATGTGTCGCTACAAGCGGCTTCTTGTCACCAGCGATTCTTATCCGCGATCTGTTTGCCTATTTATTTAGTGTGTACACTATTTCAACCAGCGAAAGGACATGCCACAGTTGCCAAACATGCCAAGCACCAATGTTGGATGCACAGCGACAAGTGTAGAAGTGGTTGAAAGTCAAGCCCCTTTCTTTGTGCCAGTAGCCTTTGGTTCTTCTCAACCCGCCATCCGAGCATAGAGTCACCTGCTCAGCCCTTTTCATTCACACCGTCAAAGGCGGCCTTTCGAGCAGCATTTACTGCGTTTTCGGTTTGCTTAGGTGTCAAAGCACCGTCGACTGCGGACTTCTCTGACTTGAGCTTTTCGCGAGCAATCTCATAGGCCAGAGCCGCCTTCTCTCTGGTATCAAAGACACCAATGTAGCGTGACTTGCCGGCAAAGTAAAGTTGTGCTTGCTGTTATCATTTAAAAAAAAAGGGAACCGATGAGGAAACAGAACATGATGCGGAATCTGCTAAACAGAGCGACAGATCGTGACTTACCCATTTTCCAGATGGACGCATGGTCACACCTCGCAAAATGGCGGCGGCGAGCATCGCAGCCTTATCGTTCTTTCCACCGCTTGCCGCATTCACTGCAGCAATTGTTTGCGCGGCTCTTTGGCGATCAACCTTCTCCGTGAGTTGCGGAGACTTCTTCTTCTTCGGACCAGGAGACTTCTTCTGTTTCTTGGGAGGCGGCTTTGGCGCTGCCTCTTGGATTGGCGCTGGTCGCTTTGACACCGAAGACTTTGGCAATGGTGGCCTTTTCACAACAGGCGGCTTGGGCGCTGGTTTTGGTTTAGGCGTGATCTTGGGTGTAATCTTCGGCGCAGAGAGCTGTGGTGCTGGTGCGGGATGAGGCGCTGGATGTGGCGCCGGATGATGATGTTGTTGTTGTTGAGAGCCATACACCGGCAACCGCGAGGCAGGAGGTTGGTGATGGCGTGGTGCCGAGTATGGATGATAGGATGGGTGGTGTCCCATGCCAGTCATGTGCGGTGGTGGGTAATGCGCATGCGGAGGAGGATACATTCCCGGTGGAGGATAATCACTGTGAGAATAACTTGGCCGCCGATGTGGTGGTAGGTGTCCTCTGGGTGCGGAATTGGACTTGGTAGTTCGACTTGAGGGAGGTGGACCTCCAACGACGACGGACATTCGACCCGAAGGACGCATCCCGCTTGGCGGAAATCCTGGGTAGGCGCCGTATACATCAGGGCGTGGATGGTAAGGACGCGAATGAACAGCGTAAGGCTGAGGCGCGGTTGCAGCAGCAGGCTTGGCCTCGGCTTCCTTGGTGGCGTTCACATCACTGCTTCCAACAGGCTGTCCTGGGTGCGCATTCGCACGGGCCATAGGAGGAGGCGCACTTGCGCTTTCCTTCTGTGCAAATACATCGTTGTCGTGTGCGTTTGAGGTTGACTTTCGAATCCCCAGAGAAGGTTTGACAACATCCCCGCCCTCCCGCGGTTGCGTTTTCCGCGACAGCCGCGTGGCTGTCGAATCACCTTGTCGATCTCCAATGATTGGAAGCTGTAGCCCAGGCAAATTTTCTTGATCATCCCCTTTTCTAGATCCCGAAGGACGGAACACGCGACCACTTGGTGAGTTGGTCTTTGAGTGTCGTCCTGAGAGTGCCTTGGGTGTGTTGCCACCCGCGAGCTGAAGCAAAACGCTCAAATCTTCGTCCTGCATAAGATCACGCTCCGCCAGTGTCAATGCATCAATGCTAGGATCCTTCTTCTCGCCCGATGATCTCTTTGCCAAACCCTTGATTGGTGGTGAATCATCCAGAAGAGGATTTGGAGACGCAAAAATGTCGTGGAAATTGACCGGTGACTTTGTCGCGTTGGGACCTCCATAACGGTTTCTGGTGGACGCCAGGGGCGAAATGCAAATGATGTTGGAGAGCCCCTTCTTGGGACTCTTGCCCGGGTCGCCGTCGCCTTTCTTGGGCGTGTCTCCATTGCGAGCCAAGCTGGCGACATCCGAAAAGAAGAATGATGTGCTCACAGTAGGAGTCCCCGGAGTGCGTGGAACCAATGGTCCTCTGGGCGTGTTCATGATGGAGTTCAAGCCTCCCCCAGGCGAAAACAGGCCATTGGCTGTGGGAGACTGAAGCCAGTTTAGAACTAAAGGAGTATCAATCAGTGAGATAGCGATTCGTCAGCTTACACAATGCAACAACAATGAGCAAATGATGCATCACTATACACCCACAAAGCCTTACCATTGGAAGTGTCAAAGGTCATGCCAGAGGATTTCCCATAGTCCGTTGAAAAGTTGGTTGGCGTCAACGCAAACTTTTCCTTGGTGTAGTCCCTAATCTCGTCACCAAGCTCGGCGGCCTCCTTGTCTTCCTTTTCCAATGAATCTCGGATAGCCTTGTAGGATGGAGTCGCAGGCCCAGGCGACAACATGAACCCAACCGGAGACCCCAGCTTGGCATCATCCAAGGAGGGAAGACTTTGAAAGTGGCTGGGAGACTTTGTGGGTGTCTTTTTGAACTAAAGAGCGCACGAACGAAACACAAGTTAGCAACATACACTCGGCAGAAGGAAGCATCTTCCATCAATCAATCAATGATTGGTCAGAAGCACTTACTCGATCCGTCAATTGCGACGGTACGGGGCTGCGAACCTCAAATGACGCACTATCCTTGTGTGGACTGGATGTTCGTGCGAGCGGACTGGTGGGGCCAATGGTGGACGCACAGGTAATGGACGAGGGTCGCACAGTAGCAGTCTCCCGCCCCTCAAACTCTTCCAACTTGGTTTGCACTTCACTCTTGAGCGGCGTCTTTTCTTTTTCTCCTTCCGACGACGGCAGCGACACCAACCCGACACTGTTTGTCGTGCTAATGGCTGGCACAGAGTCTTGGTTGTACGTCTTGTACTCCAAGACAGAAGATGCCTCCTTGGCTTGACCAGCAGCTGTTGGATTGGTGACAACGGGTGGTCGTCCCGGAGACACATAGCGACCTCCTCGTCGTGAGACCAACCCACGCTTGTTATTGGAATCTCCACTACTAACAGTGTCAGTGTTGTCTTCGGCACCAAATCGAACATGCTTTCCTGCTGTTGAGGAAGTGGACATGTTGGGCGTGACCTTTTTGACGTCGGCGGGTGTGACCGATGTGGAAAAGGTGGTGGTCTTTTGGGTAAAGGCAGTGGCAGCTGTCGCGGGCATCTTGGTGGGTCCTCCTTTGTCTGGAGTGGCAAAGTCAGCAAGCTGTACGCTCATGACTGTGGACGAAGACGAGGGCGGTCACTGTGATGATGGTTGTAATGTGTCGTGATGGATGAATGACAGTAGAGGAAAGGAGTCGCCAAGAGACAGCGGAGAGATCCCAACAAGAAGAGAGAGAGATGAGAGAGAGGAGCAAGGCAACACAATCGGTGAGTGGCTGAGAATGGATCTGATCTGGTGTGTCAACAGTCAACAGCTGCAGGCATGTGATGGGATCTCTCAACTAGCCATGCCATAGTGAGAAAGAATCCAGCGAGAAAGAAAGAGACCAAGAACATCCGCAACAGAGATTCGAACAGGTCCGACTCCTGAATCCTTCTAATTGCGACACGGGATTTGGAGTTTAGCGCCAGTCTTTGGAGCAAACTGGGTTCCTCAAAACCGCAGTAGCACATGTTAAGGACTGACACAGACAGTAAGCCCACTCCCTCTCCCACCATATATCGAGCCGTTGTTATGGTGCAAGGGACTCCGATCGATGATCCCATGTTCATGGTGAGGCATCCGTGGACTTGTAGGCGACGCCAAGTGACATCATTGCTCCGGATTTTTGCCACAACATGTTGTCACCACCTGCCGCCATCAGAATCCATGGAATATCCACAAGATAAGGCCACAACCAGCTCTCTCCAGCTAGCCACTAGTGTACCCAGTGTCGAGAGAGTCTTTCCCATCCATCACAACACCCAACAAGTTTGTTTTTCACACACACAGCAGTAACAACACACGAGATACCCACCTCCAAAATTCGATCGGAATTTCTCCTCGTACAATCCTAGTAGGATTCCTACGGGTGGCCAAGGACGAGCCCAAAGACGGAGGCTGATGGGAAGGTTCTGGTTTGCTTTTAGATGTTGTCCAACTCTTTTTTCTCTCTTGATGAGAATGATGGATAACAGTAGGTAACAATACTCAAACACCTCGTTTCTTTCTCATTAAAATGTGTGAACAATGCCGCGCAATTTCTTCAAACGATCAATAATAATCAACACTGGTTGTGTTTGTTGTGGTGGTTGCTCTCACTACACTGTGGTGGGGGTAGCAAGGACGCGATCATAGAGAGAAAACAAGCAGTGGTAGACAAGGTGTGACAACACCAAGGAAGAATTTGTACCGGCACCGCACGTAGAACACAAACATGGTGTGGGGCGAAGCCTCAAGGGAACTCGTCTTTAAGTAAAATTTGTCTCTAAGGAAGCAAGCCCCGCCACTGTGGTCTGCCTCCATCCACACCATGTTACCTGCACAGAACGTATGGCACGACATGCAAGACGCAAAATTTCTTGCTTCATTTAGAATGGCATGCCAATGAAAGGGCACGGCCGACGCTATGTTAACCTACCTTACTGAAGAACGCATTGATTTGCCTCCAAAACAAAGTATTAGGGTGGAGGATACTAGTCGGTCAAGTATCAAGTACCCGAAGCGAAGCGAAGATAGAATAATCAAATCAGGGAATGATGAATCTTGCTTCATTCCCACATTCTATTGCATGCATGACCAAAACAGTACTAGTGACTTGATTGACCTCGGCTTGACCCGAGCAGAGTCGAGTCACCCTTGGCAACAATCTTTGTGCTAATGGAACCTCACAAAAACAATCAGCAACAAAACAACAACAAAAAGCAATTCAACAAACAATTACCATGACAACCACAAGGATCATCACAGCAACAAAGGCCAATGCCAGCCAAAAGCTGGGACTGAAGCTCAACCACCAACATAATGGAGCCTACTTGGTCAAGGCCATCGAGGCTGGTATCTTGCACGGATCAGGGCTCCAACCAGGACAAGAGGTCTTGGCCATCAATGGAACAGCAGTCAAGGGATTGGATGCTGATACAGTGTTAACTTTGCTCACATCAGCTGTAGGACAGATTACCATCCAAGTAATGGAACAGCAACCTGCCAGCCCTCCAGTGCAAAGAAGCTGTGGCATCCATTGTGCACTTGGCAAAACCCTGGCACAAATGGGGTCAGAGCAATACAGGTCAGTACCAAGAATGCTTCAAGACGCGGGTGTCAGTGAACAGAAATGGAAGCGAGTCTTGGACGCATTTGCCAAGGATCTCGTGCCAGCACTGAACGATGCATTGGCCATGGATGCAGTCTTTTACTCCGAAATGGAACGATATGTGGGTGCCCAAATGGAGAAGGGTTACATCGGATGGGGACAAGAGAGCCAACATGAGAGAAAAGTGTACATGATGACACAGCAATCCGCAATCCAACGTGACAATGTGGCAATGGTGGCCAACAATGTGCTGGCAAAAGCAAATGCCTTGTTGAACATGCATGGGATTATGGCACAACTGGACTTTAAGAAAAGGTCACTGCCCCAGTTCTCCCGCAAGCAGCAAGTACTAAACATGGCCTTGATCCCCTATGGCATTACCTTTACTCAAATCTGAGGAAGAAAAGAATCTGAAACAAGATTGTAAATAATCTGGGCTGTGCTAGCGTTTATTAAACCAACTTGAATCCCGACTTGCTATCTAGTTCGTAGGATTGTGGCTTGCTCTAGCTAGATGCCAAAGAAGAAAGAATGAAGCGTGGGGATGCATCCGCAGCGAAACGTGTCTTCTCTGGCTGAATCTTTCAGCCCCACTTCCGTAGACAACCTCCAAACTCTCAAAAAAAATGATCTTGCTAGCTACTCGAGAAGTAGTAGCCTTGTGTACCGGTACTCAAAATGAGGTCCCTCTTCAGTTTTGATTCTCCTACATCAAATCTCGATCATCTGCAAGCGAACACATCCACAGCACTGCGAGCCAAAAGCAGGCAGAAGACCTACAGGTACTGTTCCGGTAAGGGAACGGGTACTGGCTGGTGGGGGGGGGGCAAGTGAACGACTTTAAGATTACAGTATCCTTTCAGCCTGACCGATGTCCGTTGCCACTTCACAGCTTTCTTTTCGGGCCACATAATACCAAAGCAAGTGCCAACCAAAGCCATATCTGTTGATTGGGTGCCATCAAATCGTCGTGTCAGGCTGTGCGAAGGGGGCGTCCAAACATCCACGCCATGTCCCCACGCCTTCAATTCCACGCAATTCTTTATTAGAAGAAATAGAGTCAAATTCTGTTCCAATGACGTCAAAGGGGCACACGACCACGTACATCAAAACACGTACATGCACCAAGCTTTCAAATTGAAATTCTTCTTTGGCTCATTCTTCAACAACAAACCAAAAGAGAATTCGTCGACAGAGCTCTGGTGCATTTTTCTGCAACCATCAAGAAGTCTGACGTTCATTTATTTCTTCTATTCTGTTCAATTGACGATGAGGTTCCTTCTCCATCCAACGACTCGACGAGCAACGGCTCAGGGTATCCGAAAGGGGAGACCATCCAAGAGAAGCAAGGAGGCGGTTCCCTCATTTGCTGGGTCCCATTCGGTTGATGTCTCGCCGGATAATAATGATGGCAGCAAGAATTATGTCCAAAACTGGGGTCAACAGTGTTCTCCCAACTGTGGTTGTGTGGTTCGATTTGAGACCAAGGTGGACCCTGTTTCCAACAAGTTTATATCGGCATCCTATTATGCCAAATCTGTCATTGTCACACAGACCAGCAGTCAAGACCAACCGGGGAGGACGTTGCAACCAGCCTTGACCTTGCGAACCAATCGACCCATGTTTCACAAGTGCAAATGCAAGAGTCTTCATCAACTGGCTTCACAAGTGACGGAATATCTACCCAACAAAAATGCACTAAATGTTGGCAGCAGTATGGAATTTTCAGGCGTGCGGTCTTCTCCAGCATTTCGCCATACAGTTCTGGAGAAACAGGGTCTTTCTACCAATGATACTCATTGCTTTGATTTGGTCGAGGAAGCCCTGACAGCTATGGTCAAGGGGCACATGCCCAAACAGCGAGCACAAGTACCGTTCAAAGAGGCATTGGCATCTGCCTCGGCTACCGGCGGATCCGCCCATTATTATTCGTTCCGGGATGAAGATGATGCCGATGATCAGTTCCGAATTGATATTGACATGTCCAAGTTCTTGGCTCCTCCCCGGGCACTCTCTGCTTTGAATTTGCTGGATGTGAATGCCAAGTATTCACCTTTTGGATTCGATGGTGCTGGAAGTGGCGACGAAGACTCTCGATACAGCAACAAAACCACCAAACCGGAATCTCCGACCAAGTCCAAAGCTTACGACTGGGTTACTTATGTGGACGAACTCTATGAGCGATCAGAAGAGATTCAAAAATCTGCGTGAGACCTGCAGCTAGCTGTACGGTAGAAAGATTTGAATAATTTGAATATACCACAATGCGTGGTGTAACTATACTGTCTTGACCAACAATCAATCATTGCGAGTGACGATGACAAGTTGATCCAAAGCATTGAAAAGAATGGAGCTATGCTTCAAAAACGAGCTAAAACTAAACATGTATGATATCTGCATTCACTGCAGTGTGAGAAAGGGGGTCGTCGTGTCAAGACCAAAGCCCTTGTGCCCGAATCATATGATGTCGTCTCGTGCTCTCAAATCAATCGTCATGATACCGGTACTGGTAGCGGTAACGGCTGTGCCGTGCTATCGTACCACATTGTGAGCTCCTGTAGTAAATGAATGATTGAATCATGATTCAGTCGAAAGATGGACGATTTGGGAAAAGAGTGACAGTCGGACAGTTATAGCTACCTTACCTGTGGCTACTACCTTACCTGTGGCTACACACAGGCCAGTGGCATGCAGTTCGAGCAAACAAAATGTGGAGATTTATCGTCTAGACAATGTATCTGCATTCGGTTACAGTCAGGTTGCTACTGGCTTCAGAGAGGCTGCTGACTGCCTGATGAGTAAAGTGAAAGGGAGGCAATAGCAATGCAACCAGGCGACGAGGGGGCCCAAAAGACATGACGAGGGGTGCCTTTTGACATGAGGGTGTCAGTAACAGACATCTAAATGCAGCTCTACGAGCTTCTTTGCAGTTACAAAGGTGCATTACCGCGTGCTAGCTAGCTAGCTAGAGCCTCGTAGCTGGCTACAGTACGTACTGTAGTGTAGTACGTTGCTGTGCCACATCCTCAAGTCGTCGGAGTCGAGTCAACTGTTGTCTTTCTTCTTTCAAAGTTTCTTGTTGTCATTTGCTGAGTTCTTTCGAGGTTTGCAAAAATAGGCACGAGTTACGCGAAAAGCATCTTTGGGTTTGGCGACTTTAGGAGGGACACAATAAACCTATTAATAGTAATTGTTGGTTGGCAGCTGCTGGAATAAAGAAAGCAAAATGGCGGCGACTACGCATACGCAGGATCCCATGCACCTCGAGCCCATCTTTGTGAATCCTCGGTCACCCCACCGTTGGGTCCGTGGGGTGAATCTCGGAGGGTGGTTGCTATTGGAACGGTATATCTCTCCATTCCAGTTCAGTATCACGTCTTGTCATCTCGAAGGTGACTTTTGTTGGTATCCAGGTCAAGCCAGTGCTCCTCCCGAGGACTCTCCTGAGTATCAGCTCTGTGATCTTTATGCCTGTCAGCCTCATCTGATTGAGAACGTCGATAACATTGTGGATTATCCCATTGACGAATACACACTCAGCAGCTCCTTTTCTAGTAAGGAAACGGGAGCCCAGTGGCTGAACTTTCACTTTGAACACTTTTTGAAGCGGGAAGACTTGGTCGCCATTAAAGAGGCGGGAGCTACCCATGTCCGAGTTCCGGTGCCGCATTTCATGTTGGAAGAACCACGAGACGATGAACCATGGATTGCGGGAGATCGGTGGAAGTATTTTGTGCGAGCGGCCAAGTGGTGCCGGGAGATTGGATTGGAAATGTGGCCCGATTTACATACGGTACCAGGCAGTCAGAACGGGTTCGACAATGGAGGTCAATATTTGAACATCCCCACTTGCAATGGATGGGCCTACAGTCAACAAAATATCTTGCGTACCGTTGAGGCTGTCAAAAACATGGCTCATGCCATCAAACGATATGGATTGGATGATGTTGTGACTGGGGTTGGACTCTTGAATGAACCCTTTACAGGATGTGATCAAGGAGTAAGTATCAAGATGGACGCGTCTTAAAACTTCTGGCCCAAGACTCGCCCTCATGTCACCTTTTGCATTGGAATGTCAGATTGTCCGTCACTATTACCAGTTAGGACTGGAGGCTGTGCGAGGTATCCTGGGAAAGAACACAGCCGTGTACATTAGTGATATCTTTGAAGCAAACAAGTTCAATGATGGCTTTTGGCAGGGATCAAGTGAATACGAGAATACTTTCTTGGACAGCCATTACTACCACGGTACGTGAACAGTGACCGAGCGTATGAGCCATGATCCTTCTAGATAGGCAATTTGCTTACTTTGTGTCGCAACAGTCTTTGGTGAACGCTCAAGATCTCTCAGCCCACGAGGTCATATTGGTAAGTTCATTGACCTTGAATCTGGTCTGATTTCTCGCTGACTGCTTAGTCTCAATCTCCCTCTTTTGTTGTTGCAGCTTATGGTAAGGATCATGCCGAATTGTCAACCTCGTTTGATTTTGTTGTCAGTTTTCAAGCCAACAATGCCTCATGTGTTCTTTCCATGTATCAATCACTGATTATGTTCAGTCTGCCAAAAGAACTATCGCGAGGCAACTTCTTGTTGCTACGAGAATCCGCCTGCCAATACGAAGGTCTCCACTGGCATGAAGCGCATGTTTGGAGAGTGGAGTGTCTCCTATGATACTTTGGTGGTGCTGAAACTGTACAACGTCACTGCCGGGATTGCCAAGACTGGCATTGCCCCTTACTTTGACCGTCAGATTCCTCCAGCGAGGCAAGACTTCTTGAGGAATTTTGCGAAGGCCCAGATGATTGCTTATGAAGCCGCAGAGGTTGGAACATCGGCTGGCTGGTTCTACTGGACATTCAAGATGGAAGGAGGTGTGTCAGAGGCTTGAGGAACGTCAAAGCATTAGTTCTCAGTCCCATGGCTCAATCGTCACTTTTGCTTTTGTGTTTTTGTAGGTGTGTTTGCCGAGTGGGATTTCTTGCGCGGTATTCGGGAGGGTAAGTTGGCTGTTTTGTTCACATTGTGCTTCCTCGGTGTGTCTGTTGGGATTTGTGATGCTGACTTCTTTTTTGCTTTGAAGGCTGGCTTCCAAAAGTGCCACCAGTGAATGTTTCTTCGGAGGAATTCTTCGATACAACCTGCCACAACTTGATCTTTCGAACGGATGACAGCATGAAAATCGTCAAGGAATATCCCGATCCGGACAACTTGCCTGAAAACACCTGGTTTGGAGACGAGATTGACGATGACGTCGTTGTTTCTCATGGTGATTCTCTGCTGAAGGGCTGGAAGGGAAGTAGTTCTAAGAATGGCGCGGGGCTCAGCTTCGATTCGGCGCACGGGATACGCAACAATATATTTTTGTGTGCCGCCATTATGTTCTTTGGTTATGCTGTCTGGCGAGTGTGTTTCAAGGGACGCCGCCAGCGAAAGGGCTACACAGAGCTTGAGCAAACCAATTAGCATTCTTCCGCGGCAACGACAACAATCCCGATACCCGTTGAAACCCCTTGCTAAAGTGGTCGAGTCGTCAACAGCCCAGGTTGACCGACTCGAGTTTTTCATATTGCAAGCATAATCTGCAGTGCCACAATTGCTAAACATCTACATGTACTTGCGCACGATAGTCTCCCACCAATGTAGATGCAGTTTGGCATTACGTAGTAGGTTTGATTAGGGAACTGACACCAATTGGAGAGTTTCAGCATGGCCCAAGTCCTCTTCGTCATCGATGTGAACAAGGACGACATTTTGGCCCGCTTGAACGTGTCCCAACTCTTTGGCCAGTTTGATCGCTGCGGCGGGCTTTTTTTCAGGAGGTACATCTCCGAGGCCTACAATGGGGTGAATAGCACGGTTCAAGATCAATTGCCGCGCCATCTTGCTGTTGGCACAGAAGGCAAGGATGGGGACGCTGGGTCGGTACGATGAAACGTGTTGTGCCAGCTCCTGCTCGTCGCCCAAGACGATGATTGCGCTTGCATCGCGAGTTTCTGCCGCACTGACAGCTCCCCTAGCAATCGAAGAATTCGGCGTTTTGGGCCCAATGAAGGGTTGTCGAATCTTTGTTTTTTCGCTTCCTAGCCCACCAGAAAATGAATACCCTTCTGCGGCAAGAATGATTTCATTCATAGTTCTGATAGCATCGACGGGATACTTGCCCTTTGCCGTTTCACCGGAAAGCATAACAGCATCTGCTCCATCATACACAGCATTGGTGACATCGGAAACTTCAGCCCTAGTGGGTCTGGGGTTCTTTGCCATGCTTTCAAGCATCTGGCGAATGGAAATGATGGTTGGTTGGGTGTGAGTTAGAATTCAGTGCAGGAAAAATATTTTCAGGAGACAACACCTTTCTCTTCGCTTACCTGCGTCGCGACAATCACTACACAAGAGCCAAACAGGAAAAACCAAAGCTTGAGAACAATGTCACTCTGAAAGTGTTCCAAAAGAAAGGCCATCCACACAACTGTGTGACTTACCAGGCTTTCCAACAGCATTGCACGCAGCCACCATTTCCTTCTGGGCGTTTGTGACTTGCTGGATTGGGATTTCAACTCCCAAATCACCTCGAGCAACCATAATTCCATCTGACTCGGTCAAGATTTCATCAAAGTGCTTGAGACCCGAACCACTCTCAATTTTGGAAATGATCTTTGGCAACGAGTAGTCATCTGGCAAGCCAAGTTCCTTGGCACAGTCTTTTACGTATTGCTTGATTTCTCGAACACCATCAGCCGTCTGGACAAAGGAAGCAGCAATAAAGTCGATATCCTTGGTCATTCCATATTTGATATCCGCTTTGTCCTTGTCACTCATTGCTGGTAGGTCAGTTTCAGCCATTGGAAGATTAACTCCAGCACGAGATCGAATCTCTCCCGTGTTATCAATGGAACAAACGACAGATCCGTCGCCCACAGAGTCAACCGTCATAATGACAACTCCGTCGTCCAAAAGCACATTCATTCCAGGGTTCAATGATTTGGAAAGACCTGCATAATTGATGAATAGGTTATTTTCATCAGATCCTTCCTCTTCGTATTGCTTGGAAGTTTGTAGTGTAATCTTGTTTCCCTTTTGGAGTGTGATGGTCTCGTGTCCCGAATGATCATTCTTCAACTTTCCGGAACGAATTTCAGGGCCACGGGTATCCAAGAGCAAGGAACGGATCTGTTGTGTTTCAGGAGCCCCAGCAGGTGATAGTTTTTTCTGCAAACAAAACATATCATGAGAATGTAAGTCAAATAAATAAAGTATATCAACCATATTCAACACCAAAACCGGCAGCAATAGAATAAAAACAACCCAAAGAACCCAGAGGAAAAGTTCTCTCGAGAACAGGTTTTGAAAAATTTTTTCGGCTTACCTCAGCAATCTCCAAGTTGGTACAACGAAGTTCCACTTCCTCCTTGGTAGCATGGCTAAAGTTCAGCCTCATGACACTCATTCCATTTTTGACGACCTCAGTGAGAGGTTCCAATTGTTCCGAGGTGGGTCCAATGGTGGCCACAATTTTGGTCAACTGAAGAGGTTTCTTGCCATGAATATAACAGTCGTCTGAACGACCTGGATCCGGCAAATCAAACTTGGTACTGATAGAGGCTCCTGTCGAGGTTTCTCCAATTTTCCAAGCGGCTCGGGTGGGCTGGGCGATCAATGTGCGTCGTTGGGCCAATCGCAACACCGATTTGGCGGCTATTCTGCTGGTGCTAAACATCTTGAACTAGAAAAAAGGTAGGGACTTGCTGTACTATTTCTGAGGTAAGAGTTTTCCAATCAAAATAAATTATGCTGCTCTGTTGGATACCCTTCTCTACAAAGAATGTCGGAGTTCCTGTGCTGTTGTATCTGCAACTCCTTTCTCGTTTTCGATGGCCCAGCATTGCCGAAGAGGAAGATCCAACGAAAGTACAAGTGCCAGAGTTTGGAAGCAAAAAGATCTTTCTTCTTTGAAAGGGAAATTTGATTGGTTCATTAAAACGCGAGAAAGCCGAACTGTGACTGATAGGTGGGTCCCAAATACGACTAAGAGCCAAATACTCATTCTTCGTTGTGGATCTTATGTTCCGGTTTTTCTAAACACCAAGGATCGTTTTTCTCTCGCAGGCTCCCTGTACAAATCTCCTCAGGACAAAATGGTTGTTGGACTGGGGTCTTCAAGACAACCGTTTCTGTCTAGGGCTCGTGCCCTTTTGCCTGAGCTCTAAACCGCCTTCTGGTCAGAGAACCATCAGCTGGCCTCTCATAATTTGGTTCGTTGACACAACCTCGTGGACCCCCTCTCTCCTCACTCCTCATCCATCAAGTCAAGCAACCATGACACCTGCTCCACAAGAACGGCCAGTCCGCAAGGTCTCCATTGTCCTGGGTGACAACAGTAGCATTCTCAGTGACGAAAGCAACACAAGCAACAAGCGACGGCGCGTGAGCGACGACGCCATTCAAGTGCGACGTACCAAGAAAGAGAGAAAGCTTCGAAACGAACGGGTCTTTAGCGGTGGAAAGTGGTCCAAGGAAGAGAGACTCAACTTTCTTCGTGGCCTCCGCAAGTTTGGACATGGAAAATGGAAGCAGATTCAGACCATTCTGACCACCAGGTAAGTCCCTGAACTCGACTCGTTTGCCTCGGCGCGTTCCGGTTTTTGGAACATGACGGTTTTTGTGAGTGAAACCAAAGCCTAACCGCTTCATTCGCTTATTACATGTACTTGCTTTCTTTATACAGATCCACCATTCAAATCAAAAGCCATGGTCAGAAAGTCCTGCAGAGAATCCAAGCAGGAGAAGACGTTTACTGGGAGCTCGACTTGGCCGACAACACGGACAAGTTCCAGGCTCGAAAAGCTGGACGAAACTCAACTAGAATGATCCCGGCCAAGGTCTCTGAGAGCGACGAGGAGGACGACGACACTGCATCAACGCTGTCTGAAGTCACTTGGAACGATGGCAAAAACCCTGGCGTATCGGAGTCGACGGTTGCTCCAGCATCTCGGAACAAGGAGAACCAAATCGATCGTGTCGTCGACAAGAAGACCATGCCCGGTATTGGCATCGCTGCGGCCAAGCCCATGGCAACGAAGTCTTTGCCTGCTCTCAGTATCTCGGAGGCGACTGTCGTGATGGCCCTCTGTGAACTTGCCAATCCAGTCCACGTGAACACGCGAGTCTCGGCAACGGCTTCCAAGTATGCCACAAATGTGCCATTCAAAGTTCAGCTCTAATCAATCAACCAGCTATCTCTTGAGGTAGCCATACTGGCAAAGTCACAGGCCTCTTTCATGCAATCGCATGCAATCGAATCAACGCGACCTTCATTAAGCTCATCAAAAAACAACATTCGTACGTTACACATTCATGTTCCGTGCCACAGGCCGCTGCTAAACCCTGACGAGCAGAGTTTTGGGACAACTCCTTCCCCAAGACCCAGAATACAAAAGATCAAACCAAGTGATCCACAAAACGAGCAAGACAACTTTTGAAAAATAATAAAAGAAAATGTGTAGTCTACTTCTTTGTTCATTTGCAACTTTTGGTCCCGCAGCTAGCCAAGGACACCTAAACACTCTGATATTCTCCCTTGATGGCTCTCTGGCCTCGTGGCACCAGATTCTCCAAGCGTTGGATAACCCTCTTTTGCAGTCCTTCTTGGCTGTCGACGGCGCCCAACATAGTAGGATCGACACATGCACTGATGTCGCCAGCAAAGGCATACATCAGCAAATTTCGAGCAATGGCTGTCGTCAGCCCACGCGAACGCAAATAGAAGAGTTCTTCCTCGGACAAGTCAGATACAGTTGCTCCATGAGCGCAAGTCACATCGTCGGCAATAATCTCAAGGGAAGGAACGGCCCACGCCCTCGACCTGTCGCTCAGGAGGATTGTTCTAGAGAGTTGTTCGCTGTCCGTAAGTTGTGCGCTCTGTTCTACGCGAATACGGCCACGGAAAGCACCCGTAGCCCGGCCTCCAATCATATTTTTCTGCACCTGGCGACTGACGGTGTCATCGGCAATGTGGTGAATGTTGGTTTTCATATCTGTTCGTTGTGCTCCACCCGAGAGGGCGAAACCATTGATAGTGGCTGTAGTCTCGGGACGAAGCAGTGTCACTGACATAGCAGTGCGAGCACGTCCACTTCCACCCAAGCCCATCATGGTTCCCTGGTAGGCACCTCCTTTACCAACAATGTGGACATCGATAGCTTCCAAATGCGTATCTTTCAGGGCCGGTCGTTGGGATTCCACTTCACGTGGATTGGGCATTCCTTCTTCAATGTCGTCGTCGTTTTGTTCGACACCGCCAGTCACAATGCCGCCCGATTCTTCCAAGTAGGAATGCGTCAAGTTGGCGTTTTCCTTGACAAAGAGTTGTGTGTAGCCATTGTAGAGTTTAGGTCGGTGTGCCTCCTCCGTACTGTCCAGGTCAACACAGGATTGGACCACTGAGAGTCGGCTGCCTTCATCGGCTACGACCAGAGTTCTAGGGTGAAATGCAACTCCCTTTCCCTCCTCAGCATCACCAGCACTTCCACTGCTGGTCACAGCATTGACAATCAGAACTGGTTTTGGCACATCGATCTCCTCATCTTGATTCGCAGCGGCATGCACATAGGCTACTGCACCCGTTCGGGCGGTGTTGAGTGCTGCAAAGCAGGCCGTTCCTTGCTGTGAGTTGATAGCAAATTGACTGGTGGCCTCGCCAATGCAGTGGTCAGGGCCACTGAGCTTTTTGTATGATGACCATGTATCACCCTCGTCGTTGATAACTACCGGTGCCGCCAATTCGTCTGTGAAGCCATCTGTGAGACGCGCGAGATATGTTTTGACTTCGTCTGACAAATTGGTTGTACTATCAAGACTTTGAGCTACATCGTTTGTCATGGATAGTTGTGGAGCAAATCGGCCATCAATGTACACCAGGCGACCTGAACAAGAATCGTCATCTAACCAGCCCCCCTTTTCCTTTAGTTTGTCAGCAATGTCCGTCACTTCATCTTCACTAAGCTCCAAGGGAGAGCCTGGTTTGGGAATGCAATGGATGAGAAATCAACTATCTCAACTCACGACCAGATAGCTTGTACGCAGAAACAAGCGACACCAAGGTTCTACCTACCTGTTCCGTCAGGAATAGTCGAATAGTCTTGTTCCACCATACCAACCACATCAAAATGCCTCCATGTTTCTGCATTGCGTCTGGGAATGGGTAGGCCGTATTCTTCCACTCCAAAAGCAGGTGTTATTGGAGTCCAAGGCAGTCTGGTAGTGACGTAAGGAGTGTATTCTTCCTTATTCTCCACCGGGGCTCGGATCTGCAGGGGAAGTGCGTCAACCAAACCATTGCCAAGAGTTAGTTAGTTAGCCGAGAAAGTAGGATGAAAGGCAACCAGTCTGTGAAAGTGGATGTAGACCAATACCCTAGTACCAACTCACCTCATTTTCCAGTGGCACTGGTGTATTGAGAATTTTTCTTGCTTCTACCGCCAAGGGTCCAAGCACCCCATTGTCTTCGCCAAGTAGCTGTCCATACCATACATCACACTGTTCGTCAAACTTGGATCGTTGTGACAATCTATATTCCTCGTGGTTGGGAATTTCATAGTCCACACCAGCCACCATTTCGCTCCTCTCCTTTGTTTCCTCGTCAGGACCCAGTCCAATACTCACAAAGAGGGGAGATGTTGCTCTGCGAGTTGCCCATGATGAAGATATTGAAGAAGAAAACCCATCAACTCCCGATGAACCTAGAAGCAAGAGCGCAAGCGAACTGTTTGGTAGACTGAGTCTCATTGTGCAATATGTTGTTTGGATTCTCCACAAAAAATCTTGGAAGGGAAGACGAATGGGAAGGTTCACGGCGAAGCTACCCTGAACACAAGAGTGACCTAATGGTGATGGCTAAGATAGCTATTTAACCCACAGAGAACGGATGAAGAAGAGCGGAGCCGATGAGGAGATTGTTACGTATGCATGAGGTGTGGAAACTTGAAAGCCATCAAGTGCACCAGATCCAACAACGGCATCTTCAAAACTGGTTCCAACAAGCACTTTCCCACCACGCAATAGTGAAGTTGATCGGAGGAGTCGAATGAATGACGTCACATTGACAGCAACCTTTTCATGGATCAAAAGATTAGGCAGAAAACACTCTAACTCTTCGTGCAGCAGCTTTTGATCCACAGATCCAAACCCGCGAACCTTCCATCGAGAGCTTTGGCTGAAAAACCCAGAGGCAACAACAACACTGTGTCGTTTGACACCACACAGCGACTTCTGCATCACAGAACTCATCTCGTACCATGGTAACACCGCAGAGGAAGGAAACTCATGGGAAGGGTGAGTAAGCGGACCGCACCGTTGACTAAAGAAGGAAACTGGTAGGAAAGGATGAGTAAGCGGACCGCACTGTTGACTAGGGAAGAAAAGGAGTACGCGCTGTTTCTGTTTGAAAGTGAAAAGCATTGCAAGACCATCACAATCCAATCAGAGGAGGACGAAATTTTTGCTTTTACATTGAAAAATCGACTTGGACTTCCCATTGAGGAGGCAACATACTCGATGGTGGCAAAAGGATCCGTGCTGTTACCGAAGGCCAGCACCGATGAGTCGGGTTACGAATCCTTGATGGTTGGCGAAGGTTATGAAGTAACAGAGTCAGAATTCGATACAACAAATAGTGAGAAGAGTTTGGTTTAGATTTGGTTCGTTCGTTTATTGTTGAATTTATTCAATTTATCTCCGCGAGCACCACCAGATGGTGAGAAGTGTGTTGCATTTGGTTCGTTTGTTTATTGTCAATTTGCTCACCTCCCATTTCCTCCATCTTTTTATACTAATTCAAGATGGTATTCAGCAACCGCCGCTATTGTCTGAGTCGACGATAGCAGCGCTAAACAAAATGGCACACGGCTATGTGACTAAAAAAAGAACAATTAGGCTCTCGGACGCAACACCAGGAGCGAAGACCGACTTGATGGACATGCTGAGGCTACCAGAGAAAGGTTCCTCTTGGCCAAACGAGCCTTCAACCTTGCAGCGCGTTAGTGCGCATTTGTGGCTTAAAAAGGGCGACGAACATAGTGAGGAAAATCGACTGGCATATATGGCTTATCTCAGAACTATGTTGCAGATTCCAGGTGACTACGAATTGGCGGATGTGCAACCAGAAAGGACGCTGCTTTCCGTGGAGCAATTTGGAGGTATGACAGAGAGTCGAAAAGTAAGTGGGACTACGGATGTTGCTATAGCAAAATCCCAGCATGTTCGCAATCGTGCTGTCCGGAAAAACATAGAAACTTTGCTGGAATTGAAAACACCCAAGAACATGAAAAGGAAAGACCACAGTCCACAAGCGATCGCGAACATTTTGCTGCATCTTATTTGAATCCCAACCATGCTGTGGTTTCGGTACTGACAGATCTAAATGCAAGGTGGATCTTTTTTTGGCATGCCGTTGGGGACGATGATTCAAGGATGTCCCTCCGCAAGCTCGATCTCAACGGTGATGGAGCCGCAGCGAAGGCAAAGTGCCTTCTGGGTGGCCTTTACGACAACTCAGTTGCCTACGCTCTACCGACTACTTTTGCGGAACGCCAACCTTTTCAAGCTGTTCTGAAGGACCTCGTCCAACGAAAGTAAGCGCGAATAGATCTTGATGGTGACCATGGTCACAACCCCCACCAAGATGCGAAACCTTCTGCATCAGGTGGCACTGAAGGGTATCCAGGTTCTAATGCTGAAGCCTCGTTAGAAAGGAACGATAGCTCCGGCAACCAAGGCGGCACAGGTAGTGGTGGGAGTGCTCCAATGAGCATGGCGCATGCATTGAGTCTTTTTGCTCCTCCAGCTGACAGAGACATTGCCAATGAGCTCGATCTGCTAGATATGGTGAGCCCAAACGAGCAATACGAAATTGTTTCGTCATTTGCTACAAAGCATATCATCCCATATATGAGGGGTTAGAGGTCTACATTCTGTTGTCTCTCGTGATGTTGGTCGCATCAGTGGGAGAATTGAATTACATGACCTTGCGAGCATCAAAAGGCAGCTCCTCGAAGAAGGGGATGTCCAAGTCTAACAACAGTAGCAAAGTACCCTGTAACGAGGCTTTTGCTTGTGTTGATATTTATTCTCAAAAAGGGAAAAATGCTACTCCAGTACACTTCAAAAGTAGCATACTTGCTACAACGGATGTAGCGGTCTTGAATCTTGTTTTCGAGACCATTGTTGATTTTAAGTCTATTCGCATCTTGTAAAACTAGAAAAACTTACCTAGTAGATAACCTGGCTAGCTGCCATCAGCCCCACCAAACCTAGCCTCGACCATAGCCCCCTGCACAGCTGGAAAGATAACAACTCAGCCCTCTCCGGGGTAGGGGTATAAAGGGGGACCGAGGTGGAGATCAGCCATTATTACCTCACCTTCTTGACTCATTTTTCTCTATAGTAAAACAGTACTTTTTCTTTCTTGACTCTGAAAAAGACTTAACAACCTTTTGAGCCCGTCCCCCTTCTTGACCCAGTAAAAAAACTTAAAAACCGTTTTAAAAGATTTAACAATCAATCATTTCATTTTTTCATTTCCTCTAATGGATGAGCGCAGACAAGCTGCGCTCGCCCAGAGCAGCTAGACACGACTAGTAGAGGATAAGGTGAGTGGAGAAACTCGGCCATTTACTGATCCGACCGTCTCCAATCCCCAGGGTACCATTAGGGACTGGGGAGTCCCGGATAGATCCCACACGGCGGAAGGGAGTCCCGGGAATGTGATGTTCCACGGGACAGCCTTCAGTCGTGCAACCAGGGAGGGAGAGGTGGGTTAATCTAATCTAGGTTCTTGCTTTCAGCGTCGGCTGAACGAAGAATTGTGAGCTGAGAGAGAGACAACCGTTTGCGATCGGCAGTTCAATGGCTGGTCTTGGCTAGGTCGCTGGCTTTAGTGGTTCATGGTTGCCGCTGTCAATCTTGCCAAATGTGGTCTTGGACTGAAGCACAGTCTCTTCTGCTTCCAAAAGTGGACATCTGGAAGTCATCAAGTATGCGAAAGGACATGGCTGTCAGTGGGATCAAAGAACATGCTCATCAGCTGCAAAAGGAGGCCATTTGGCAGTTCTAGCATTGCACATGAAAATGGCTGTCCTTGGAACGTAAGCACGTGCACCTCGGCTGCAGAAGGATGACATCTCAAAGTCCTACAGTATGCCCATGAAAAGGGATGTCCATGGGATGCCAACACTCTTATTGCTGCCGCTAGAATGGGATATTTAGATTATTATTAACTTATGAATTACATGCCCCCGAGGGGTTACGGGATATTTGAAAGTCATGAAATGGGCCCATCCAAATGGCTGCCCATGGCTTCCAGTGGCGTTTTAAACATGGACTGCAATGAGAGATCGTGTGGATTTCCTCAACTATGCTCATGAGAATAGCTGCCCATGGGATGCGACAGAGGTGATGGTTAGGGGCACTTTTCAGGTCAGACAATGGGTTCAACAGAATGCAGAGCCGAGGTTGTAGCAGCAAATTGGTTTCCTGCTTCTTGCAAGAGACAACCTCCCGGACCGAGAGCCAGAGTGAGAGTGACAGTCTCACATTGTTATCGCAGTTGAGCTAGCTTACCGTAGTAATTCTCTCAAACTCTTCCAGCTGGAAGGTCCAAAGCTGACGTCATCGCCATCAACCCACAGAAAGGCTTCGCCGAGTTGAACAAATCGGAGCACACAGATCTGTCATCTTTTAGCTCAACCCTCGATCATCAACCCTCTCTGCTTTCCCAAGCATACCATCGTCTTAGCATTTGCTTGTGTCGTGGCGTAGCTCGAAACAGGACGACCATGAAGTTTATTGGATTCTCAGTTTGGCTTTTGTGCCTCCCGACGCTGGTGGCGTCTTTTTTAGCTCCCGTAGCCAACAATAAGCCAAAGGTCCTTCAGGCTAAGTCCTTCAATGAAGACTTGGAATTGACACGACAAATCATTATGGGTCATGTTGGTGGAGATACTACTAGTAGCGCTGATGTGGAGGCGAGTGCTGATGTGGAGGAAGAATCATCAGCCGCCGTTGTGAGTTATTCCCTCCCCAACAAGGCCGATTATGCCGCCCTGAAATCTCCTGGAAGACCAGCCAATGATTTGATGATCCGGGCAGCACTGGGAGAAACGGTTGAAAAGACACCCATTTGGTTGTTCCGACAAGCAGGAAGGCATCTGCCAGAATACCAGGCATACAAGGAAGAAACTGGACGAAGCTTTTTGGATTTGTTGGCATACCCTGATGTAAGTTTCTGATCGCTGGTACATTGCACTGTACATACTTCTATTTTTTGCTAAAATTGCTGCATACGACAACAGAGCGTTGCAGAATGCACTATGCAACCTCTACGAAGATACGATGTTGACGCTGCTATTCTCTTTTCGGATATTCTAGTCATTGCCGAGGCCCTTGGAATTGAAGTTACCATGCCCGGCGGTGTCGGTATCCTGGTTCCCAATCCACTTGCCGGACCCGAAGAAGTGGCAACACGAATCCCTCCTGTGCAAGACATGACCAAGGCGTATGTGGAAAAACACTTGGGACATGTCTTGGAGGCTGTTCGACAGATCCGAACCATTATGGACAAGGAAGGAAAGTCCATCCCTCTCATTGGTTTCTCGGCAGCTCCTTGGACTCTACTGTTTTACATGGTCGGTGGATCCTCCAAAAAGAATAACGAGATTGGCAAAAAATGGCTCAACGAACACCCGGAAGAGTCACAGGTTCTCCTTCAAACATTGACCAAGATTGTCATTGAATACATGTCGGCACAAGTAGAGAATGGGGCTCACATGCTACAAGTCTTTGAAGCCATGGGCATGATGATTGATGAAGACAACTTTGAAAAGTTTGCGAAACCATGTCTGGAAGCTATCCATAAGGAGCTCAAAACGCGATTCCCAGACGTCCCTTTGATGGTCTTTACTCGAGGTGCTGGGTAAGTTTCGCGTTGCACTAAGATTGTACAAGGGGGAGTACTCTGGGCCGCCAACTGCGATCCTTGACGACTTCTCACATCTCATTCTCACCCAAACGTTTCTTTTTCTGTGGCTTCACCTGAAAACGATAGCTTTGCAAATGCAGACATGGCGAAATTGGGGTATGATGTTATCACAATGGATGGTGAAGTGGATAGGAAGACCGCCCGGTCTGTCATTGGTGAAAATGTGTCACTCCAAGGTAACTATGACCCACGAAATCTGGTTCCTGGAGAGGGAAAGAGTGTAGAAACTGTTCGAGCAACAGCTAGAGAACTTTTGGAAGAGCTTGGCCCACAACGGTTGATTGCAAACTTGGGAGAAGGCCTTGGTGGCAAAGAAAGCCCAGAGCTGGTAAAGGCTTTCGTAGATGCTGTCCATGAGGAGAGTGCAGCAATGATTGCTGCCAACTAAAATGAAACTAGTAGCTGTGCTAATGCTGCTGGCGGTTTGTTCAGTAACAGTAGCGTGATTTGGACAGACAGCCACACAGAGTTCCTCTTTGCGATGCAACCCTGACCATCCATGTCTGTTTCGAGCTGGCGGTCCTATCGCTTTTTCTGCTGAACCTTTCATCGCCAGCACCAGTGAGGTAAAGTCTATCGGTACGAAGAAAGTCGTTTTTGTGTCCACTTGGCCTGCGCACTACTATGACTGGTTACACGCAAGTGTAATTCCGCAGGTACCGGTAGCTAAAAGTTGGATCTGCCAACATAAATAATTGCTGCTGCAGGAACTTTATGGGTTCTGTGCTGGTTCGTCGTCCTTGTCGACATCAGTGCCATTTTCACCTGCTGCGAGATCTGAGTCCGTGTCATACCATTGCTGCTGCCCGTCCTCGTCTTTTTGTTCCCGTTTGCGCCCAGGATACCAGCGGCCATCTCGTGAATACTTGTCGAGACGACGGTATGAAGGCCTCATCCGTTTGCCAACTGTTGAACTTTCGTCTCCCGTCTCTTCGGGGGCAACTTGCTCCACTCCTTCCAAGCTGGATTGGTCGCCCAAATAGTCTTCTTCGCGATTTCTCTTCGACGAACTACCCCTGCCGCGATTCCTTGGAGGCGCTCGTTGAGCAACATTCACAAAAGGGACATGCTCTCGAATACTTGAATCATCCGCGGGCTCGCCGGATGCCTGCCCCCCTCTCAAGAAATCAAGATTTTGGACAACTTGACCGAACTGGGCAGCATCTATTTGGTCATTTGCCATTGCGTCTTCATTGTTTTCACTTGTTACCGCTTCCGGGAGACATGCTGCAGGTTTTCTTTCGTCGTCTTCGTTTTCATCATCGCTGCTGATGACAACAACACCCGCTTCTCCATCGTTTGCATCAGGTGCAATCTCCTCGTCAACGTTGTCCTGAGGCTGATGTGCCTCCTCTTGCTGCGGTTCAGCATTGTCCGGTTCAGCATCTCCCTCGGGCTCGCCGTCTGCAGCCTCTTCATCCTCTAAGGAGTCGTAAATCAGAGGGGATGCCTCTACGCCTGCTGAAACAAGGAAATCCATCACAATTCCCATGGTGCTCTTGGGATCCACCAAGAGAGAAAGCCCATCCACCCGAACACATTTCCATCCCACTCTTTCAATGCTCTTTTGTTGCGTCCTTGCGCGGTCCCATTCATCTCTTGGCTCCCCGCAACTCTCGATGCACAATGCTGCTCGAGCGTTTGTGTCTGGGTGTTCGACACATAGCCCATACTGCCAAACAACGCCCATATCACGAACAGTGAATCCCTTCTTCTTGAGCATCTTTTTCAACAAGGTCTCCGCACGTTCGCGGAAACCGCCGGCGTTCTTTGTGTCCTCTGACGTTGTCATTTCCTCTGCGGGAAGCGGCTGCTCGTTCAGTTTTGTCGCCTCTTCAAAGAATTCAAGGACCGGGAGCTTGATATCTTCCTGGTTGGGCACGTGATGTACGTCAATACTGCGAACTAGAACCATCCGGTCGCGTGAACGAGAAAGTGCAACGTTCATACGTTGTGCATGCATCAACCGATTCTGCGTTGGCACGCTACCGGGAGAGCAAACCATGCTGAGGAAGACGATGTCTCTTTCGGCCCCTTGAAAGGTGGGTGGATCACCAATGAGGATATTGTGTTCCTTGAACTTGTGGGCGCCAATGCGATCCAATAGACGGCCTCGAATCAGACGAGACTGCTCGTCGCCCAAGAGCGAAATGATTCCGATGCTTCTGGGCTTGGTGGAACACAAGGTGGCAGCATCACTCACAAAAGCGTGGATCAGTCTGACGATTTCGTCGCATTCCTTCGCGTTCACTTTCCCAACTTTGACGCCATCAGGGATCCGCACATCAATGATGGATGGAGTCAACCTCTCATTGCTCGTAGGAAGCCTGAGAGGTATCAATCTACCATCGTAAAACTGTTGATTGCTGAAGTTGATAATGTTTGGTGCACACCGGAAGTGTTCTCTCAGCACGATGCGTCCTCTGGGGAATGCCTGGGAGACGCAGGAAAAGTATTATGTGAGCATGCTGCCATCATGATGCCGTTGTGAGGGGCTTGTCACGCAATTTCCCAGCCTTACCTGCGCACAAAGATCAAAAAAACTCTGCCCTGGCAACAAGGAGTCCTCCAGTGGGCAACGGGGCAAGGCAGCGCGAAGGCTATCAATGCTTTCTTCCGAGATGAACGACTCCGTAGGGCTCACTTGCTTTCCATCCCCGACGATCAACCAGCTCTTGCCTCTCAACATGCCTGGGAGCACTGTGATGTCGCTTTGAGACGCTTCGTCTATCACAACCAGGTCAAACAAGCCCTCTGCCGGCAAGTAGTCGCTGATCTGAGACGAAGTCATGATCCAACAGGGAATGTACCGCACACAGCGATCAAAGGCGTCCAGGTATTCCTGTCTGTGGCGTCGCTGGCGTACTGTCATCTTCGACGGTTGAGAAGCTCGACTGAATTTGGCCTTGCCAGCAATTTGGGAGAAACGGATAAGAGCACTCTGGGCCTCTGATGAAAATGACCGGCTCAGCTCTGCTACAACCTTGGCATCGACCAAGTCCTCTGCCAGGCGCTGGATTTGTGATGCGAGCATTCCCCTACGGGCGTCCAAAGCTCTGAATTCGCATGCTTGCTCAAGCTCCTCGGGGATATTCAGGTCGATTGCCAGTTTCTTAAGGCTGACAAGCCTATCAATCAGGTCCAGCAATGGTTTTCGCAGAATTCTCTGCTTTTGGTCTCGGCCGACCATTTCGTACACTTCCTGAAATGGCCAACCCTCATTTTGGATCAGAGGAGCAAGTTCGCTCTGGTGGAACTTTTCCAGAGCTTCTTCGAAGCGCAGAGCTTGCAGGATCTCTTGCCATTTTACATTGCTCTCTGGTGCTTTTCCATCGATCGTCATTGCCTCAAGCTGCTCCTGTAATTCAGCAGAAGAACTTTCAGGTGCGAACACTTGACCCAGAACTGGCATTGACGCGAGGGCCCTCTTTGTCGCCTGCTTTACAGAAGGGAGCATCATTCCCGCTTTTGCCGCAACCATGCACATCAACTCTGCTGATGGTGCGGCATCATAGCATCCATGATTTACTCTCGATAGGACATCGGTATCATGAACAAGGAGAGATGCTAGGTCACCACGAAACTCCTCCAGCCTCTCAACCGTCCACTTTGCAGTGGTCTCGGATAACCACGGTGTCTCCTCATTGAGAGAAAGCAAGCCAGAAACAAGCTTTTGCCCGTTCGGTTGGTGAATAACGCATCTGACGCGGTCGCTAGCTGCCGAGAGCTTGTTGTCAATGCCGCATTTTTCCTGCTCTAGAGTTCGAAGGTTGCGCTGCGAAGGCAAAGCAAACAATAGAGCGTCAGTCCTCACACCAGGTCGTCCTCGAGCCAATAAAGACTTTGCAATCTTACCAACAGCATGACAACCTTTTCCCCTTCCAAAGCTGTCGAAACGCACGACACTCGATTGGCCAGTCGTTCTACCGTTTGCTGGAGCTGCCGCATTCCTGCCAACTCGCTGCAAACATCATCGGTAAGTTCTCTCATCTCGCGTTCTACCGTACAGTATTACAATACACTGCCCACTTACGACATGGACACGTCCACAACCAGATCCTGTACACACTTGGGAAGTCTTTCTCGAATAACCGCGAGAGCTGGTGCACTTTTGGAGGTCACCAGCACTCGTTTTCCCTGGCATAGATAGGCTGATATCATATTGGCAATTGTATGTGTTTTACCAGTTCCTTTGCAGAGTGAGAACAACTTGAAAGTTAGCGGTATGTTTATGTTCGAGCACAAAAGAGAGGTGCGAACGGCAACTCACCTGGAGGTCCTTCGCAAACAATGGCGGGATAGTGCTGCCGGAGCAGGAGATCTGCAATGCGATTCTGTGCCTCTGACGTGGGCAGTGGAAAGACGATTGGAGCCTCTTGCAGGGTGGAGTCGTCTGGTTCCTCTTGTTCCTCCTCTTCGGGCTCTTTTGGCTTGCCAAAGAGCTGTCCTAATCGAGCTACAAATCCATCGGGAGCCGACTCTGCTGGTTTTTGCTCTGCACTATTGCCGTCACCTACCACTGAAGGATCATCCAGAGCCCCCGGTCCCTTGGTCAATGCCCAGGTAGCTTTGGGCAGTCCCAACTTGGCAGCGTCGGGAGAGTTGGGTGGAAGCAATAGCTGATCCGCAAAGGCCATGGCATCTCGAGCCCAAACAGAACTTGGTTTGGGTCTGGAATACAAGCACCATGCTTCCGTCACAAGCTGCTTGCAGGGTGCCGGCGGTTGCCTGTCTGCATTTTCGGAAAGCTTGGTGGTCATCTGGAAGCTTCCTCCCGACGACAATTCCATCACCATTCGCTTGAGCAATGGAACATACGTGGATGGTTGTCCCGGAGACATTTGCAGAGGATCTAGTTCGGCGACAGACCGATGCATCTGGGTGAGACGTTGATTGGCCGAAGCAGCCGTGCTGGCACTACCAGCAGAGTTGACACTAGCATCGTCCGCTGACAAGTTCATGAGGGCCGTGACAACCTCTCGATTCAGGGCCACTCCAGTATGTTCACGAGGACGTACAAGCAAGGCTCCATCCCTGGACAATTCCACCTCTACCAGCACCTCGCAGATGGGTCCATTGACCACCGTCTGATCAGCAGCAATCATTCGTGCATGACCGAGTCCCCAGACCAGTTCCGTATCGTGGTGTTGGGTCTGCTGCACCCATTCAAAGAGCTGATTGTAAATGGGTTCCAAAGCCTGTTGGAAAGCTCGCTTTCGGAGGTATCGTTTGTAGGCTCGCAAGAAAGTCTTGATTGTCGCCACACTGGTCAAATCAGCAGGGCTGACTTTGGGAGCCTGTTCTATGGTTTGGAGTGTGATCATGTCCCGAAACGATCGGCAGTGCTGAAATTCAGATTCTCGCCACTGTTCAAGGTATCGGCGCACGGCTGGATTGGAGAAACTGGGTGGTTCCGGAACTTCGGCCGTGGTCAACCGCGTGAGTCGTAACCAACAAGCCTTGCCGTCTTGTTGTTGCTGTGGAGTACTGTTCTGTTGCCCAACAGTCCGAAAGGCATCTGCCCACGCCCTTTTTCGATTGGCTGTAGGGGACTGTCCAGATGATGTAGCTGCATAAAAGGAAAAGGGAGGCGATTCAAACAGTTGCGTGGCAGATTCTGCTTGAATTCTCTGTAAGGTTTTGAAGTTTTGGGTAGTAAACAGAATGCCCCATCGTCTCTCTTCATCCGAGGTTCCCCTGAATTCTTGATAAAAGGAAGATTGCCAGCAGCGCTGTAGATTGGAAGATCGCTTCAGAAAGGAATGGCCGCGCTTGTTGTCCGAACTGCTGCTTCCCAGAGAGTGATGCATGGTAGCAATATACCGTAGAATTTGAGCCAATTGTTTGCGATGCCGAACTTCATCGGATTCTTCGCTACCAGGATTCTCGGATTGATTATCTTTTCGGTTATCTTTGTTGTCGTTGGATCCCCTGTTGCCACCGATTCCAATGGATCCAAAGATCCAACCTGTGAGGCTGTCACTCGACATGATCGATGTGGGATGCACGACACAAAGGAAGCTGCAAAATCTAGAAGGGAAGGGTAGATCGAAAGCGGATACTGATCGACCGATAATACCTCAACGGACAAACTGAACGCTGCAACTTGATGCGAGATAAGCACTGTACTGTAGATCACCTATGATATGATCAGGAACGTATCAGCAACAACAAGTGTCGTGTCGTCTTTGCAATGGAGGCAGAACAACGGAAATGACGACAATCGAGGGAAGAACATTTTCCAAAGAATGCTCAATCGAATCAGCGATCAAGGCTGTCATGAGTCCATTCATGAGGCAGACGTCATGAACATGAAATATTTAAAGCCAGCAAAGACGCTGCTACTGTACGTCTCCTCCCTGTGTGTTGGAGTCGAGTCCATTGTTTTTGTTCCAGGTCCGATGGAATCGAGGAGCCTCCTCCGTAGTAGCTACCTGGTAGCTAGTGTAGGCATACCGTACTGTACCAGCATCGCTGCCATCCAGAAAGAAAAGTTCTCCGTCATTGACGTCGGTTTGTGGTGTTTCAAAATACATGTATCAATACCGTGATGTTCCTGTGGCCCCCACAACCTCGGAAAGGAAAAAGATCGGATTAAAGGAACGCTTCATCTGTGGCAAAGCTACGGCACATTCTTTGGTACCGGTACCGATACGGTATCGCCGTAATGGCTTTCTCATTTCGGAAAAGCAATGCAATTAGTTCGTTTGGTTGCCTTGAAGCCACCACAGTTATTCTTCTTCTACCGACCGCACAGTACTGTACAATCTCCTCTCGGCGCAATGTCCCGGCATGACATACGCGTGTAACCTAACAATCGAGCCTGTCAGCGGACAATCAAATCAAACTGCAATCTCGCAGTATGCAACCACGCACCCCCCAGGAGGCCAGTGTGGCCGGTGAGCAGACTTGACTGTGGGAAATACCCGGGCCTCGTCTCGTGGGTTGTCCTCAAGCAACTTTGTCCGAATCCGTAAAATTAAAATAGACGTTCTTTTGTTTTAGCAGTATGCAACCGCGGGTTGACCAAATCGCCCCTTGAACGAGGGGAAAGTTTTTTCCAGAACCCACACCACAGGGTTTACAATCAGAAGAAGCAAGACACCAAACATTCCCATGCCGGTCTGGGAGAGTCCACAGGCAACACCCAGGACGATGAGCGTGACTATGCCCTCCACCAAAATCCTGCGCTTGGGCCTGCAGTGCTCCTTCCAAAGGTCTCGATTCAAGGCAACTTCTAGAGCCATGAGGACGCTGAAAAATCGCGCCAGCAAAAGATTCAACAAGTACTGGAGATGAACAATTCTGTCCGGGCCTCCAGTTTCCTCCTGTTCATCCGAGTCGCTGCTATTGCCCTTGTTGTAAATAAGCGAAGTCGACACTGGGATGTAGGTCATGACCAAGACCCAAATGAAGGTAAGACGAACAAGGCGAGGACTAAAGTACTCCAAGGAAGAGCAAAGCTCTTGATTTTCTCTCCAGAATGAGGCCACCACCAAGAAGCTGAAAACAAAGGCAAGAATAGGAAAAAGGTGGTCCTCATACCATTCGGCGGTTGTGATGCCTTCTGTCTTGTCTGCGTCAGTACCCTCCATCAATGGAAGGATCAGAAGCGTCATGCTAATGGCAATGCAAGCATCCGTGAACGCAAGGGTACGTTCCACCCCGATTCGATTATCCTCGTGCTCATTCTCCAATTCCTCCTTCATGGCAGCATCCTTAACCTCGAGGTTCTTGGTGACATCAAGAGGAACTGGCTGCTCTTTGGACCCTGCGTTTGTAGAAATGTCAGTCATCTTGAAGAAGTGGGTTGAATGAAAAAAGACGCAACTTCAGGGTTCAAGCGAGAGAAGGAAAAAATTTAATTGTGAGCTCTTCGAAGGCGGCAACATGAGACTTGGCCACTGATGTCTGCCGGTGCCGCTTGGTACACTTTCTACGTGTGCGTGACCGTTCCAAGGCTACCACCACTGTGGAAAGATTTTCAGGCACAGGCATCTGGAAGACTGCATTAGTTAACAGGTCGTTGAGGCCTATAATTACTAGCGAGTAGTAAAAGAATGAATGTGACGAGTCGGGTGGAGAAAGGTCATCGCCCTTTCTTCGCGGGCTTCGCGGTGGTGACTGTTCGTCCATGAAATAATTATTGCAACATGCAATTTTATTGGAAAAAGCCAGAAAAGCTGCTCAGACGCTGTACACGTTTATCGTCTACCAGGTACTCACCTGTGGACTGCCCAAGCAAAAATCAAGGGCATGAAAACCCATTGATCCTCTTGCTTCCCGGCTGCCTCCTCAAAGATTCAACCGTACAAACAAGAGGAGCCAGAGTCCTTCCCATGTTCGAGATGAAGCTGTTGGAACAAACGCTCAACCGTTCTCACGCACATGAACAAGGAAGAATGATTGATCTCTGCGTCCCTGTGTCTTTGGAAATCAGTTTAGGTTTGCTCTCACAAATAATCCAAAACAGAGCTACAAAAAGTACCAGGCGCAACCTATCCAAGCTCAAGCTACAATCTTAACCAGTAATCATGGCCATTGAATCTGCACCCATCACTTTCAAGTACCTTGCCTTACCCAATGCATTGGGGGGGCGAGGTGGAGCTCAACGTTTCTTTCTGCTGGCCAACAACATCCCCTTCAAAGAAAGCTTGGTGGAAATGTCTGATTGGGGTGCCTCAGAAAAGGCCCGTGTTGTCTCTTCCAATGAGAATCCTTGTGGAACTGTGCCCATCTTGTACACCAGTGATATAAGTGGCAAGGATGCCCAATTGATTCAGCATGTTGCTTCAGCTCGCTACTTGGCCCACCTCCATGGCCTTACCAAGGACAATGCTGCCTATGACGAATATGTGCAAGATTTGGTTGCAGATGAGTACCAGGGATTCCGTGATGCCTGGGTCAACACAGCCTTTTCGGGCACTGATGAAGAGAAGAACAAGTACAAGATTGAAGCTGCCCCAAAGCTTTTGGCAACTTTTGATGCCTTGTATGCAAAGTACAAGACTCATGACATGTATCTCAGTGTCAGCAAGTCCAATAATAGTCCGCTTTGGGCTGATGCTGCTTTGTTTGGATTGTTGCGCGACAATATCATTACTGGATTGATTGCTGCCAATGACTTGGAAAAATCTTACCCCCATTTGTGGGCCATGTATGCTGCGTTTGGAGAGATCCCAGCTGTCAAAGCTTGGATTGATATCGAAGAGTCCTCCATATGGTGCTAAGCAGCTACTAGCAAGCAAGACATGACAAGTAACTTGTGCCGAAACAACAAGAAAGCCACTGTGAGAATGTGAAAGTCAGAGAAACTGTGTGATGTTGACACAAGCAAGAATACTTACTACTAAACTAGCTGGTAGCAAGAGAGAAGCAATTCTAGCATTCCTTTCAATACTCTTCTAGCAGCTAGATCACTTTGTAGTTTTTCATTTTGTTGTCGGGTGTGGAAGAGCGACTAGCTAGCAAGGCAGCCACTAGCATCTTTTGCTCATTCTCATTCTACTGTAAGGCGAGATTCAATTTCCAAGAAGTGACAGGTCTCTCTCAGCTAACTTCAGACAGATGCGTGGCCATTCGCACTGTAGCCGATCCTCTGTGGCTCCACACTACCTGGCACCGCTAAACATGTCACCACTGTCAGAATGGAGAGCTAGGTCCTGCTCTTCCGCTTCTTTCGGGAGGGACAGTGTTGAAAACACTCGAAAGCATTCGAAAGTTTTGACATGAATTACTCTATACAAAACAACAATCTTGGATTGATCGACGCCTAAAAGTACTCCGGTATTACTACATACCGATCCCGGCTCTGCACTCAAATGCTATGGATCACACCAGAGGGTGAATTTAAAATGTGAACAATCAGTCTCTTGTTTTCTCAGACAAAGCAAGTCAAGTGCAATCGTTCCATATTGCTTTCTTTTTCTCAACTTTGTCTTCATTCAAAGCATCTCTGCTTCTAACATGGACTTCATGTTATAGTTGTCTTGATGACAGGAAGACAGGAACTCCCACTACCTACCTTGTTGGCTGGTTTCGTGGTTGTTCCTGCATTTATCAAGACTTGGCACACCCTGCCTGTTTTGCGTGCAATCGTTTTTCTTCTTCAGTTTCCTCATCCTCGTGGGCAAATGCGAGCATGAGACCAATCGCAATGATAGGAGAGCACGCTACCAAGACCTTGATTGCCATCAATGCATAGCCGTAGATATCTGTTGTATCCAATATCTCCATTATTTGTTCTTCGTTGAATCTTAAGTTTTCCGCTTCGATGTCTTCCCTCTTTGCTGCTTCCTCACCTTTCTTTCAATTCTTCCCTCTCCTCACAACTTTCAACGCCAATGTGCTGAGGCTGAGCGAGTGACAGTCTGCTTTGCGGCACATGACGTGGTACAATTGCAATATTATTGTTGCATTGCTCCGCTGCAAAACACACGGACGCAGAAACTTTAACTATTCGGTAGGAGCTAGTTTAGCTTCTTCGCCTTGCAATACTTTTTCACCTTCAGCAAACTTTTGAAGTCTGAGCACAAGTGAAGCATGCATCTCTTACAATATCTATCAGTCTATGAACAATAGTATTTCATCTTTAGAAGCTATGCATATCATAGCTACCGGTAGCTAGCCATGTTGTTTTACCACTGCTGCAATCGCACATCCCCCATAGAATGCAACGGTAAGGAATACCTTGGGCCATATGGATTGAAATCCTTCATCCAATGTCTTCCATGGTTGTCGAATATTCTTGGACTTGACATCAGAATGTTGCAGCCAGTGATCAAAGAGGAACAAGAACAACGGTGCCATGACGTACGAGTTCAAAAAGGTTGCCACAAATGACGTGACAATGCGTTCCAGTCGTTCATCAGCTTGCGTCAATCCCCACTTGTCATAGTAATAGGGCAAGAAGGAGCCCGACCATCGAATGGTGATGAATAGTGCCAGCAGCGTGAGCCACCAGACTTTCCACTTTTTGGGAGGTGACTTGGCCACGGCATGTCCTTGTCGTGTGAGCAAATCGGTAAAAGCATCGGGCAGCTCTCGTTGACTCTGAATCTGGACAATGTCTGGAACAATTAGCATTGGTTCCAGGGCTCTCATGAGTGCCTTGCGCCGCGGTGAGAGCATCCAATCGTTGAGATAATCCAAGTTGGTAAACTTGAGATAGACGACTTGATACAATTGCTCTCCGGCAATCTTATTGTCGGCTTGTTGTTGCTGTTCTTCATCGTCTTCTTGATCATCCCACACGGTTCGAGTAATTTCCGTCTTTTCGATACTGACGAGTCCATTGGCATGTTCGACGGCCCCGCGAATGCGGACCACCCATTTCTGGTAGTCATCGAGTTTGTCGGGTCGAATGCGATGTTCAATCTTGAGAACTTGTTCGCAGGTTCCATCCGGACAATCAAACTGTCGTGTCGGTAGTACCGACTGCTGCTGCTGTTGTTGTAACTTAATCAACGGAGAGGGCGGTGCGTCAAACATGGAGAATCCTTCTTCCAGAATATGAATGACTCGGGCCAGAACTTCAAACAGTATATTTTCGTGGGTGTACATCCATTGGGCCCTTGGTTGTTTGAGCCACGCCCCTACTCCGTATGTTTTGCCCGCATGGGTAGTAACTGTGAGACCGGTAATGACGAGATCCATGGTACCATAAACCAAAACAAAAACGATAATGGCGAGCGTAAGAAAGAGACTGGCTTCCGGAGCCAACCATCCTTGAAATCGAAGAAAGCCTGTCAAGTCGGCGGCACTGGCGACCCAGGAAGCAAAGTAGACTAGTACAAAGACGAGCAACCATAACTTGTATTTTGCAGGAGGCAAAATCTTGACTTCGGGGGGAGGAGTGTAGTCGATAAAGGATGGGTGTTGCTGTTGTTGACTGCTGGTGTTGTTGTTGGTCAATGATGAGGAATTGGTCCTTTCCGTGGTGGTCATCATCATCTTGACGGATGATCCCTCTTCCAACGTCGTGTCGGCATTGGTGCCAATCGTAGTTCCTTGTGTTGATGCCATTGCTTCTGAAATAATGAGACCATATCTGCATCCATCACTCAAAAAAGAAGCAGGATGCCGGTTCCCAATCGGCCCAAACCTGTCCGACAACTTTCCCGACGAGCGAAAAAAGTGATGCTTTGGAAGAATTCGAAAGAAGAGGTGACGACATTGAAACATGCTTCCCAAGGTGGGGCCAAAATTTAGCTCCACAGGCTTTTAATTAAAAAAGAGACGCACAATGGTTCCCCGTCTGCCCGCCTTTCACGACCTTGAACGGTCGTGTTGCACCAACACGCTCACTCATCACTTACTTTGTTTCTTCTTTCTTTTGAATTGATTGATACGTTAGTTGCATTACGATGGCGAACAATGGAGGAAGACAAGCGGGTGGAGGCGGCAATGGCCAGATGAATGAACATGTGGAGTTCACTGTCAAGGTGAGTGATGATTGATTGGACGTGTTGTGTGTGTTTGACGGAGGTTCTTTCGTTGGGAGCATTGGAAGTTGGTGGAGTGTGTGTGCTGTTTTTGTGACTGCTCTATTGGCACCTGTCTGGTGTTCATCCATCTCTTTGTTTCTTAAGATGATACACTCACCCGTCTCCTGTAATGACTCTCTACACTACTGTTGATGTTGGTGATATAGGCCGAAGAAGACCTGTACTTGACCGGCAGCGAAAATACGATTCGCCGCGTGACAGCGGAGACGAATTACTCGTGTCTGATGCTCAAGACGCAGCGCTTTTCCAGTTTGTTTCGTCACTACGCCAAGTACCACGGACTCCGCAAAGACGACCTAGAGTACTACTTTGTCAATCCTCTCGAAAACGAAGACACGCCCGAGACGGTCCATTTGCAACGAGGCGACACTATCATGGTACGAAAGAGACGCAAACCAGAACCCGCCGAACCTGCGGCGGACGATGACGAATTCTTCAAGGACATGCGAGAATTGTTTGAAGACGAAGAACACATGGATTGCACGTTCATGGTACACTCGGAAAATAACAACAACAACAAAAAGAGAAAGGACGATGCCATGGACGAAGACGAGACAGACGACACCAAAAAGACGGACAGTATGGTCGAAATTAGGGCTCACAAGTGCATCCTCACGGCGCGGGCCGAGTACTTTAAAGCATTCTTTCGAAAGGGATACACCAATAACAACACCAATGGGGGAAACAACAACAACACCAATACCGCAACAACCACGTTCCGAGAGGCAGAAGAATGTGTCATTCACGTCGAACCAGACTTTGCACCCTGTCATATCCGATACATGATGGAATTCATTTACACCAATCGAATTCAATCCATCAAGGAAATATCCACCGATGATCTACTCGCATTGTTGCATCTATCCGATCGTTGGCTCATTCGAGATCTCAAGCGACTCGTGGAACATGAACTCATTCGCAATCACATGACAATCCAATCCGTCGCACGCATGTACGGGGCTACCGAAGATTTCCACGCCAATCGATTGTCGAGGGCGTGCATTGATTTCATCATGGACAATCTGCGACAATTGGCGGGAAATTCGTCCTTTGAAGAGGAAATGAAAAATTATCCTCACTTGTGCATTCCCGTTCTCAAGGCTGCGGCAGAAATGATCCCCGAAGGACCGTTGCACAAGAAACAACGAACGGATCATGGATCCTCTACTACCGCTGCGGCGACACCGTCTTCTAACGCGGCGGCTGGATTGGGGTCGTCGCCAGTGCCTGATTCGGATCCTTAGACTTGTTACGTAGGGAACAAACAACATCCATACACTACCGTGGGCGAACGGCTTCTACTATCTGTGTGTCGCTTTTTTCATTTCCATCTATATCCACTATACGATTTCTCATCGACAGCACACCATTATTCAATTAATTGATAACAACAATTAGGAAAACTGGGTCACTATTGCACATCTAGCTAGTTACCGTAGCTGGCTAGATAGTGATACCGTAGATGCCAATTTGCAAACCACTTTCTTCATTCTCCTCTCATAGCATAGTACCCCAAGAACGAACATTGTACCGGCACCGGTAAATAGCTACCACCGGACCGGTACTGGTGGCTAGGAGACATTCCCTAGTAGTCCATGGACCAATGCTTCCGTCTCGAGCAGTTCCTGGTCCATGCCGGTATATGCGGAAGGTAGCTTTGGGCTCGAGTTGCTGCTGGAATGTGGAATCTCACGCATCTCCAGCAAGCTATCATTGGCTGGCTCTCCTGCTGCTGCTGCTGAAAACCGAAAGACAGTGGGTGAGTGGGGACTCCCAGTCCTCTTTTGCTGAAAGAAATCATTGAACTCTTGTTGCATAGTATCCAGCATGACATTTCGCTGCTCTTCCCAATCCTTTTTCATAGATTCCATCTGATCGGCGTGCACGTCGGATAGTTCTGCTTTATCACACACCAGCTGTTGCTCCAATTGTTTGATAGTCGCCTTCAATTCCCCATTCTTTGCCATCTCACTTGCCAGGAGCTGATTGCCAGAGTTGATCTTTGACAGGGATGCCTCTAGTAGTTCATCCGACAAAGTCGCGCCTTGCTGGATCTCCTTTTTCAACTGGGTAAGCAAGCAAACCAAAGCAAGCAAGCAAAGATTCAAATATAGATGAGCCATCTTGTAAGAAGAACGCACAAAAAGAAATCCATAACCAATCTCTTGACTCATTCCTACCCGTTCTATTTCTTCCCCATGTCGCGTTTCCATGTTTGTCATGTTCCGATCAAAAGCCTCTTGAAGTCCCTCTAGTATCTCTTTGTGCTTTTGTGACAATATCGTTTTTGTGGATTGCAATGAGTTCTGGAGCCTTTCCTCATGTTGGCTATTGAGTTTTTGGATAGCGGCTTCGTGTTTTCCTTTCAAACGGACAATCTCTCGATGGTGATCCTTGACGAGAGAAGCACGGTCTGCAGCATCTCGTATCCGTGTCAACCGGTCCACAATCGTAGCGTCATGTGTAGGTGACGCTGCTGCGTCCGAGTTGTGTGCTGCTGCTCGGGGTGCTCCAGCAAGACCCCGCCACTCTTGTAGCTCCATCCCCAGGCGTCGAATCTCCTTGGCTTGTGCTAGTTTCTCAATTTTGGTTTGCTCTAGCTCTTGTCGAAGCCGTTTCACTTCCCGATCACGGCTTAGCAAGGCTTGTTTGGTTTGATTCAGCTCTGATGTGACTTGTCGAATTTGCTGTTGTTGTTGCTGCTGCTGTACCAAGGGACTGTCCAATGGTGTGTTGTTGCCATTATTTCCTGGCGACTGATTGTTGCTCTTGGGATTGGCTGGTTCCTCCAGCACCGTGCTGCCAGTGTTTATTCTGTGTTCGCTCCCTGGCCTCTTTGAATTTATCCCTCCTGAGGACATTTGATGGCCCCTCGGTGTTTGTGTTGAGTTGTCGTGTGGATCCTGAATGCCCTGCTGCCCTGCTTTTGTTGTAGCTGGCATTGGAGAGACCGAATCCATGGAAACATCTTGTTGTGGTCTTTCATCTGTCCAGTGACCATTGGGAGTATTCCCCGAATTATTTTCGGGAGCGGACACACGCAACAGCCCTTGTGCATCTAGTATGGCCTGTAAGGCTTCAATTTGTTGCAAGGCTGCGTGGAAATCTCTCATCATTTGGCTGGAATCAATTGCATTAATCGAGCCAATGGAGGCTTCTGAATTCTCTTGGAGCTTTGTGGCATTCTGAGTCAATTCTGTTCTTTCTTGCCCTCCCAGAAGTGGTATGCTGCCGATTGGTTCTGCTGCCTGCTCCTGCTTGCGTGGATTTCTGCCAACATCATGTTGTTCGAGTTTTTGAGCAAACGCGGTCTGGCCACCAATGCCAATATCCCCAACTTGTTGGAAAAGACCAGATGGATCTGGAAACTGCTCTTGTACACCGGTAATAGGATAATGACGATGATGCTGTCCCTCTTCTATTTCCCGTTTTGTTGGCGATTTTTCATCTACTGGCCCATCGGTGGCAGACTGAGCCCTCCAGGGATTTGGAGAGTGACCTAACGTTCGCTTTATTCGATGCTCCAATGATACATCATCACAGAACGTAGCATTGTCATCATTCTCGCTACTTGTATTTGAGTCTGGCAGTTGTTGTGCATACCCCGACATCACTTCTTGCCAATACAATACTCCAGTAGGACAAAAGGACAGCACAACACCCCCAAGGGAAAGATTCGATTGGAAAATGAAACGGCCAATTCAGAGAGAGATGGCCAAAAGCCAATGCGGCTGAAGTGCGTGTGACAGCTCGTCTGTGAATGGTCCCTAAATATTTCTGGCCGCTGTGCTAGCTTCAAATCTGGATCCACCAAAAAAATGCATGAGAGGCAGGCCATGCAGACAGTCACCGTACCACACCCACCTCAACAACTCCAGGGCCTACCATAACCCTTGGTCCATCTACCTACTCTTTGTTCTTCCCCATGTATATTTCCAGGCCTCAATCCTGGACCAACTTCAAAACCCTCCTCTGATTCCCAGGTCCCACTCCTGGTCCCACACTGGGACCAACACCAGGACGGATCCTGGACTTTAAATCCCTGGATCGTATCGGGCCCCACTCTTAGACCAACTCCTGGACCTGTCTTTGGTCCAACTCCCGGCCTCACTCCTGGTCCCACATCAGGACCAACAACAGGGGCTCATGAACCAACCCCCTGGTTGGCAATATCCTTGATTGAAGTATGGATCTTCTAGACTAGCTCCTCGAGCGCTAGGTAGTTTGCTTAAGTGGCTGCATTGCCAGCTGCCCATTCTGTCGATCCCCGCTGCGAAGACGGTGAGGTCCCAAGCTTTCACTGTACTGATCAGTTTGAGGTGCCTTTTTACTGATTCTCTGGATGTTGTGTTGAGTGGGACTCTACTCCCACCAAAGAAAATGTGTACAACTAGTTGGAAACGACTAGGCAGCGAGTGTATCATGAAAGGAAGAATTTATTGATGCATTAACGTATACAAGGGCTTTCTACCCAATACCCATCTATTGTTCGGTTGGTTTGGTTGATGGTGGCAACGGTAAACAAAGGGTGTCTATGTATCTCCAGAAACAACCCTCTGTGGAGGCCGTGGCCTTGTGTCTTTATTAGAGTGCTCTCCTCGATGAAGATTCATGCGCCCCATGGTTCTTGGCCGACTTCTTGAGGCAATCACAGAAGTATCGCGACTTGTGGGTCGATCGTCGTTGCTTGGGATTCGAAATAGGACCTTACGCCTCCTTCGGCGCCGAGTAGCAATGGCAGGGGAAAGCTCGGCAGTCTGTGGCGGGTTTACGCTACTGGTGAATACCATTGCTGTTGTTGGTGGTGGTTTGGAATTGCTGGTGGTTGTTGCTTGTGATGATTGTATCCGCTTGCTCTTACCCATCAAGATATTGTGGTTGGATTGCAATTGCAGTAGACGAAGATAGATCAATGAGACCCAAGCAATCAGTGCAAGTACCACCTTGCCCTTGCCCAGTCGGGAGTCTGTCTTGCGGGTGGTAGTGTGTGATGCAAAAGCTCTTTGCCGCTTGCGTTTGCATAGCCGTCACCTGCCGAGACTGATGGCAACTTGACGAGTGCTGCCTGCCGGTCGTTCCCTAGTGCCACCACCGTGCCACCGCCCCTCCCTATCCACGGCTCGATTTCGTTGATGTGGGCTTGGTGTTGTGGTCCAAATAGAGAGAGGCATTTCACCACAGGGTTGACGCCAACAGGAATATCGGCCTTGATGCGTCGTACGCATCTTGGATCTAACACGAACGGGAGGCTCAATCCTCTCCTCCCAAGATGTCAAGAGCAGCCCACAACAGAGGCAGAGCCAAGGAAGCGAAATGTCGTTGACACCGTGTAAAACGCATGTGTCCTTGGCACCACATGCTCAATCAACCAGTCGGGAGTACTCTCTTGGCATCCGGGGTAGCTTGTAGGCAATAGAGCCCCCATGCAAAGCTTTTCGGCAACACGAGCGTGATCCAGGGCTGTTCAGGGAAATGTAGGCATAACAACCCGTCCAGAAAGGAGCCTTCCAGCGACCTCGAATGTCAACTTCGTCAGCGTAGCACCCATCCCTCTTGCCAGAGTTCAGCAAACTTCCGAATGCTGTGACTCCAAGAACACCGGCAATGAGAGCGCCACAGCCAGAAATGGAGCCGACAAAAAGACAGCCTTGAGAATGTTGCGGTAGGCTGCGTTGCAGTGCTTGGAGCCAACTTGGATCGCTTTCGGAGTAAAGAGGAATGCATCTTCCCGACCAGCGGCGCCATCCCGTAGTTGAAGGACGCTCCATGTAATTCGCCAATCGAGCATAGCACAAAAGTCGGTATCCATCGACCCAAGAATGATTTGGTCAGGGCATTGTCGTTCTTCGAAAATTCTTGGACCAATGCACCTGCAACTGAGCGCAAAAGGGAAGTCTGGATGCGGCTTGTAGGTCGGAATACTTCAACTTGAGATGTCGTCCGTCCTGGTGATAAGATGGACTTGCTGCTTCAACATGCAGGCTGTACGGTTGGTCGATTCAAAGCTCCCTTGCCGTAGAGTTCATGGACCACCTTGCGATACTCAGTTTCCGTCAAATCCCTGGTGGCACAGGACTTCTTGCCGGTGTTGAGTCTCCGCTTTCTGACTTCCTTGACCACTTCGTTCACAGGATGGACTTGGTTGGATTGCCGAGGTTCCATTCCATGTGCACCTTTGATGGGCATGTAAAGGAAATAGCCTTCTTGTCTTGCTCAAGAGTAGAGGAGCGGCAAGTTGGATTCTGCTCGGGTCTTTGAAGTCAACTCGTCGTACCTTACGCACGCCATTTCAAGTATCGGCAACGTGTGTGGTTGGATGCCGCCCAAAGCACTGGGCCGTTGGTGTACGTCCTTTGTGCAGCCAGCTCATGAATTGACGAAGAGTCGATGGTATCCCGGTTGTACTTGGGCTTTTCCGTGGGTGCTTCAGGCAATCCGCACGTCTTCCAACCCAAAGGCTCCATCATTGGCATTGTGGGCCATGGTGGAGTAATTGTTTGTCAACTAAGCAATTGGTTGGTTGAGCTGCTGGAATTTTGGCAGAGTTCCTTTATAGAGTTGAAGATTGAAAATAATGAGCTCTGAAATGAAGAACTGATTACAGTAGCTAGCCACCGGTAGCACCGGTGCTACAGAGACGATCGATCGAACACGGGATTTGCCAGTTGTTTGCCTCTTTGCTTGAGTAGCTCGAACGTAACGATCGGATCTGTTGAGTACACGAACCATTCGTGCCAGTAGGCTTGAGTAAACTGCAACGATTGGTACGTGGCTCTTTCAGGTACGGAATCGAATCCAATCGGATCGCATTGGATACCTTCTGGGGCTACTTAAGGTGAAATCGGAATCCTCTCAGTATGTGGTTGGTCTTATTGCCGGTGTTATATCTTCTCTTTGCAGTTTATTTAATAGTGAGAGTCTTATTGAGAGATCTTTGTTTCAATGACTACTGAAGCGGCAAAGAGCTTTTGCATCACACACTACCACCCGCAAGACAGACTCCCGACTGGGCAAGGGCAAGGTGGTACTTGCACTGATTGCTTGGGTCTCATTGATCTATCTTCGTCTACTGCAATTGCAATCCAACCACAATATCTTGATGGGTAAGAGCAAGCGGATACAATCATCACAAGCAACAACACCAGCAATTCCAAACCACCACCAACAACAGCAATGGTATTCACCAGTAGCGTAAACCCGCCACAGACTGCCGAGCTTTCCCCTGCCATTGCTACTCGGCGCCGAAGGAGGCGTAAGGTCCTATTTCGAATCCCAAGCAACGACGATCGACCCACAAGTCGCGATACTTCTGTGATTGCCTCAAGAAGTCGGCCAAGAACCATGGGGCGCATGAATCTTCATCGAGGAGAGCACTCTAATAAAGACACAAGGCCACGGCCTCCACAGAGGGTTGTTTCTGGAGATACATAGACACCCTTTGTTTACCGTTGCCACCATCAACCAAACCAACCGAACAATAGATGGGTATTGGGTAGAAAGCCCTTGTATACGTTAATGCATCAATAAATTCTTCCTTTCATGATACACTCGCTGCCTAGTCGTTTCCAACTAGTTGTACACATTTTCTTTGGTGGGAGTAGAGTCCCACTCAACACAACATCCAGAGAATCAGTAAAAAGGCACCTCAAACTGATCAGTACAGTGAAAGCTTGGGACCTCACCGTCTTCGCAGCGGGGATCGACAGAATGGGCAGCTGGCAATGCAGCCACTTAAGCAAACTACCTAGCGCTCGAGGAGCTAGTCTAGAAGATCCATACTTCAATCAAGGATATTGCCAACCAGGGGGTTGGTTCATGAGCCCCTGTTGTTGGTCCTGATGTGGGACCAGGAGTGAGGCCGGGAGTTGGACCAAAGACAGGTCCAGGAGTTGGTCTAAGAGTGGGGCCCGATACGATCCAGGGATTTAAAGTCCAGGATCCGTCCTGGTGTTGGTCCCAGTGTGGGACCAGGAGTGGGACCTGGGAATCAGAGGAGGGTTTTGAAGTTGGTCCAGGATTGAGGCCTGGAAATATACATGGGGAAGAACAAAGAGTAGGTAGATGGACCAAGGGTTATGGTAGGCCCTGGAGTTGTTGAGGTGGGTGTGGTCGGTGACTGTCTGCATGGCCTGCCTCTCATGCATTTTTTTGGTGGATCCAGATTTGAAGCTAGCACAGCGGCCAGAAATATTTAGGGACCATTCACAGACGAGCTGTCACACGCACTTCAGCCGCATTGGCTTTTGGCCATCTCTCTCTGAATTGGCCGTTTCATTTTCCAATCGAATCTTTCCCTTGGGGGTGTTGTGCTGTCCTTTTGTCCTACTGGAGTATTGTATTGGCAAGAAGTGATGTCGGGGTATGCACAACAACTGCCAGACTCAAATACAAGTAGCGAGAATGATGACAATGCTACGTTCTGTGATGATGTATCATTGGAGCATCGAATAAAGCGAACGTTAGGTCACTCTCCAAATCCCTGGAGGGCTCAGTCTGCCACCGATGGGCCAGTAGATGAAAAATCGCCAACAAAACGGGAAATAGAAGAGGGACAGCATCATCGTCATTATCCTATTACCGGTGTACAAGAGCAGTTTCCAGATCCATCTGGTCTTTTCCAACAAGTTGGGGATATTGGCATTGGTGGCCAGACCGCGTTTGCTCAAAAACTCGAACAACATGATGTTGGCAGAAATCCACGCAAGCAGGAGCAGGCAGCAGAACCAATCGGCAGCATACCACTTCTGGGAGGGCAAGAAAGAACAGAATTGACTCAGAATGCCACAAAGCTCCAAGAGAATTCAGAAGCCTCCATTGGCTCGATTAATGCAATTGATTCCAGCCAAATGATGAGAGATTTCCACGCAGCCTTGCAACAAATTGAAGCCTTACAGGCCATACTAGATGCACAAGGGCTGTTGCGTGTGTCCGCTCCGAAAATAATTCGGGGAATACTCCCAATGGTCACTGGACAGATGAAAGACCACAACAAGATGTTTCCATGGATTCGGTCTCTCCAATGCCAGCTACAACAAAAGCAGGGCAGCAGGGCATTCAGGATCCACACGACAACTCAACACAAACACCGAGGGGCCATCAAATGTCCTCAGGAGGGATAAATTCAAAGAGGCCAGGGAGCGAACACAGAATAAACACTGGCAGCACGGTGCTGGAGGAACCAGCCAATCCCAAGAGCAACAATCAGTCGCCAGGAAATAATGGCAACAACACACCATTGGACAGTCCCTTGGTACAGCAGCAGCAACAACAACAGCAAATTCGACAAGTCACATCAGAGCTGAATCAAACCAAACAAGCCTTGCTAAGCCGTGATCGGGAAGTGAAACGGCTTCGACAAGAGCTAGAGCAAACCAAAATTGAGAAACTAGCACAAGCCAAGGAGATTCGACGCCTGGGGATGGAGCTACAAGAGTGGCGGGGTCTTGCTGGAGCACCCCGAGCAGCAGCACACAACTCGGACGCAGCAGCGTCACCTACACATGACGCTACGATTGTGGACCGGTTGACACGGATACGAGATGCTGCAGACCGTGCTTCTCTCGTCAAGGATCACCATCGAGAGATTGTCCGTTTGAAAGGAAAACACGAAGCCGCTATCCAAAAACTCAATAGCCAACATGAGGAAAGGCTCCAGAACTCATTGCAATCCACAAAAACGATATTGTCACAAAAGCACAAAGAGATACTAGAGGGACTTCAAGAGGCTTTTGATCGGAACATGACAAACATGGAAACGCGACATGGGGAAGAAATAGAACGGGTAGGAATGAGTCAAGAGATTGGTTATGGATTTCTTTTTGTGCGTTCTTCTTACAAGATGGCTCATCTATATTTGAATCTTTGCTTGCTTGCTTTGGTTTGCTTGCTTACCCAGTTGAAAAAGGAGATCCAGCAAGGCGCGACTTTGTCGGATGAACTACTAGAGGCATCCCTGTCAAAGATCAACTCTGGCAATCAGCTCCTGGCAAGTGAGATGGCAAAGAATGGGGAATTGAAGGCGACTATCAAACAATTGGAGCAACAGCTGGTGTGTGATAAAGCAGAACTATCCGACGTGCACGCCGATCAGATGGAATCTATGAAAAAGGATTGGGAAGAGCAGCGAAATGTCATGCTGGATACTATGCAACAAGAGTTCAATGATTTCTTTCAGCAAAAGAGGACTGGGAGTCCCCACTCACCCACTGTCTTTCGGTTTTCAGCAGCAGCAGCAGGAGAGCCAGCCAATGATAGCTTGCTGGAGATGCGTGAGATTCCACATTCCAGCAGCAACTCGAGCCCAAAGCTACCTTCCGCATATACCGGCATGGACCAGGAACTGCTCGAGACGGAAGCATTGGTCCATGGACTACTAGGGAATGTCTCCTAGCCACCAGTACCGGTCCGGTGGTAGCTATTTACCGGTGCCGGTACAATGTTCGTTCTTGGGGTACTATGCTATGAGAGGAGAATGAAGAAAGTGGTTTGCAAATTGGCATCTACGGTATCACTATCTAGCCAGCTACGGTAACTAGCTAGATGTGCAATAGTGACCCAGTTTTCCTAATTGTTTTTATCAATTAATTGAATAATGGTGTGCTGTCGATGAGAAATCGTATAGTGGATATAGATGGAAATGAAAAAAGCGACACACAGATAGTAGAAGCCGTTCGCCCACGGTAGTGTATGGATGTTGTTTGTTCCCTACGTAACAAGTCTAAGGATCCGAATCAGGCACTGGCGACGACCCCAATCCAGCCGCCGCGTTAGAAGACGGTGTCGCCGCAGCGGTAGTAGAGGATCCATGATCCGTTCGTTGTTTCTTGTGCAACGGTCCTTCGGGGATCATTTCTGCCGCAGCCTTGAGAACGGGAATGCACAAGTGAGGATAATTTTTCATTTCCTCTTCAAAGGACGAATTTCCCGCCAATTGTCGCAGATTGTCCATGATGAAATCAATGCACGCCCTCGACAATCGATTGGCGTGGAAATCTTCGGTAGCCCCGTACATGCGTGCGACGGATTGGATTGTCATGTGATTGCGAATGAGTTCATGTTCCACGAGTCGCTTGAGATCTCGAATGAGCCAACGATCGGATAGATGCAACAATGCGAGTAGATCATCGGTGGATATTTCCTTGATGGATTGAATTCGATTGGTGTAAATGAATTCCATCATGTATCGGATATGACAGGGTGCAAAGTCTGGTTCGACGTGAATGACACATTCTTCTGCCTCTCGGAACGTGGTTGTTGCGGTATTGGTGTTGTTGTTGTTTCCCCCATTGGTGTTGTTATTGGTGTATCCCTTTCGAAAGAATGCTTTAAAGTACTCGGCCCGCGCCGTGAGGATGCACTTGTGAGCCCTAATTTCGACCATACTGTCCGTCTTTTTGGTGTCGTCTGTCTGTCTTCGTCCATGGCATCGTCCTTTCTCTT